TATTAAGATCGATGAAACATTCACTAGTGAAGAGATCAAGTGTATTAAGTTTAATCATAACGGTGCTAATCGAGAAAATGTTTCAGAGCAAGTGATACAAGAATAAAAAAATATAGATTATGCGTCTTCTTGATCACCTTAGCAATATGGCATTAAAATATTGCTTGTTTTCATCATCCAAATATTGTGTTAATCAAGTATTGCTTTTTTTCACTACATAAATATGAAATGTATCTCAATTTGATGGTCAATTTGATGTTTTAGAGACAATTGATGGTATTGCTAAACATTAGAATGGGAGGAATCAGCTTATGCATTTATGTCAAACTCTACACTTATCAGATTTGCCGCTGGTCTTGTCTACCCTCACTGTGGCATTAGTGTACGTCATTGCGTTATCAACCTCACAATCTTTTAGCCAATCTCCACAACCATGAGCTTAAGCTACACAACGATGGAAGTTCTAAAGTGTTGATGAAAATAGAATTTAATATTTTTTGCATATATTATTGTTATTATCGAGTCTTGAGAGCTCATTTTTAACGTCACATTGTGTTAATGGATTGTTTTATGTTGAGCCAGATTTTTTTTCAAGGAAAAAGCGGTGCCGATGAACTTGTGAAGATTATCAAGATCGTTGAAACACTTAATCGTGAGAAGATCAATTATATGAATACTAATTATAATAATGATAATCAAAAATGTGTTGCAGGTAAGTGATATAACAATCAAAAATTATAAACTTATTCTTTTTCTATCATCATGACATTATTAACATGGTGGAATCAAAGCATTGCTATTTTCCACTACATACAATGTTGAATTGTATCTTGAACATCACAATACACCAAAAATCTAAAGACAATTTACAGCCCTGCCAAACATTACAATTTGATCAATCAGCAAATGTCTTTGGTTTATGTCAAATTTTACGCTTATCAAATCTGTTCTAACTCGCCTATATCCACTATAGCATTGTTGTATGTCATCATAGTATCAAACCTCAACATAATTTGTTCAAAATTCACATCCATGAGCTAAAGTTCCACTACTTTGGAAATGCTAAAGTGTTGGTGAGACTGGATCCAAATATTTTATATATTCTCAATACTATCTATCCTTGAGCTTATCAACGTCACATTGTATTCAACAGTCATGGAACATATGATCAATGAATTGTGTTTTGGTAAGACGAGCTTTCTTTTTAATGAGAAAGAGGTGTTTGATCAACTTGCAAAGATTATCAAGATCCTTAGAATATTCATTTATGAGGAGATCAAGCGTATGAATCTTAATTATATCCAATTTAGTTTTCCTCAAATCAATACATAACCATGTCACAAGTTGTTTCACAAGAGAATGTCATATGATGATGTGGATTTGTATGAAAGTAATGTTGGAAGAAAAGCAAGGATGAAATTAGAAATTCTTAGTTATTACCAATTGTGAAATTACAAAAGTAGTTGTGTAAAAAAAATACATGTTGATGAGATTCTCAAGTAGATCTTGAATATGAAGTCTAATAGTGAAGCTTGTAAAATCGCTTCAATCCTTGTTTCTTTTGAGGTAGATACAAGTGTGTACAAATAGTCTTCAGACAATTCAGACGTAATTTTGAATGAGTATCTTGAATTGGTGATGGAACACGGAGAGTTGTGGCCAGAAGTTTTATATTATTTTGTGCTAATGTATCTAACTTACCATAGTTCAACTAATTGGAAATAATCAATCAACAAAAAATTTGATTTTAAATATGTATTATGTATTCTAATCTTGATTTCACCCTTCAACACTACACCATTAAATAATATCCATTCTTAAATTTATATCATGTTTCACATCATCATTTTAACACAAATTTGAAATCTATTTCTATTCAAATCATCCAAAATTCACACAAACAATAACATTGGTTGAATCTTTAAATTACTGGAGAATGAAGAGTAAGTAACAAGTTGTCTTCATCATCTTTACAACTATACAAAAAAAGTAAGTAAAATATTCAAAATCATCTAAGAAATATGAGATAAATGTATATAATTGTGTCACAAAATATCATGTTGTATAGATCGCTTTAAGAAGAATTACAATTCTTTGTAGTTATTGTTGGTAGTTGACATATTGTATTATCATACAGGGGCGGAGCCAGGATATTTGTGTAGCGCAGCAGGCGAAAACTTTTTCTCGACCGTGTTTTCACAATCTGCAGACCCTTCTTGGGCTGGGGGCGGCTCGTCACTAAGGGCTCCCCACTTTCGGTGCAACGCGATGTTTGCCCGCCCGGGAGGGCCCGCAGCAGAACTCCCGGTGAGGGCCGCCATGCTCCCGGGTTTAGGGGAGTCCTTAGTGGCTTGGGTCTCCCTGCACCATATATTAACCTGTTTACAATACCTATTAACCACATTACACTGGTGACTGAATTAGACTGAATTAGTGAGTGTCAAATTCCTAATCAAAGTCATTTTTTACTCTCCTCATAACACTCCTCCATCCCCCTTTTGTGGAATCCTTCATTGTGAGTTCCCTTGTGATTTTCCATCATGATAATACATGAAAAGACTTACTTAAATGCAGAAATTGAAGATAAATAAGAAAAAAAGATGGCTTTGGGAAATAAAGGACTTGGTTTTTTTTGGCTTCAGGAATATGATCCGGCTTTGCAAGGAGTATGTAAGGATCGGCACGTTCGGTACATTTCTCATTCATTTTCCAGTCCGAGGAGTAACTTCAATTCTTCTAGAAGTACATCCCGTGGAAGATCAAGGGAAAGAAGTGAAGAAAGTTCTATATTATGGCACTTAATTATAGTGATCGTGTTTAGTCATAGTAGGCCTGCATAAACATATTCGTCTAAGTGGATACGACATTTCACTTTTCATATCATTATGATGTATCGGTGAATCTAGCAAACAACGAAAAAGTGTTGTTGGCATGGCATTGTTGGACCGAGTAGTGCAGGGTTTAGTGATTTATCAACGTGAAACTCATATCCCCTCCCGTGAAAATCCTGGAACTTGGATGATGTATGCTCCGTGTATAGTACATGGCATTTTCGAGACGATAGACGTATGAGGTTATGAGCAGCCATCTTGCGAATAAAACCATATTTTGAGTTTAATGATAAATTATCATTACCTTAAACTAGGATCAGAGTTTTATTCATGATAATTGTTTTATCTCGGTGAAGGACCCAAACATGCTCCTATATTTCTCTTACCCTTTGTGAGGGGAGGAGAAAAAAAATACATAGTACAAGTTCCCTGCGGGAAGGGAGGCCGCGAGGGAGAGTCCTTAGTGAGCGAGAGCCCTCCCTGCTCGAAGCGGGAGGTCGGGCTGCGGGCCCGGGCGGGCAGAAAGCCCTCCCGGGCAGACCTCGCGTTCCCCCGAAAGTGGGGAGCCCTTAGTGACGAGGCTGGGGGCGTGACCCTCTTCCCCTGTTAGCTCCGCCCCTGATCACTCTTTCTTTGTACTTATGATCAACGTATCAAAAGGCAAGATTTAATGTTCATCATGATGATCTACTCCTTCTCAAATTACTTGAGCGTGATAAGATGCATTATTACAATAATATACTCATGGATTATAATTGAATATTTAGTTTTCTCACACGCGCTATCTTGATGAAATAATAGCGGAAATTCTTTTCCACATGGACAAATTAACGCACTTAAAATATGCTCAAATTACATGTCACATCTTATCAATGTGTCTCAAAAGATTTCATCATATTATACACTCACATTACCATCTATTTCTTCCGTGTGATTCACTTGTTGATACAGATGAAAGATTTCTTCAGAAAGGTGGTATGTTATGGAACTTGGCCTGGATACACAGGCCAGATTCTTCTCTTCCCTACGTGCTTAATTGGAGTTATGAATGCGCCTGTTCTAGAACATAGCGCTTCATCATCGTGCTTTGAGGGTAGTTGAGGATTGGTAGGTGTTAAACTGCGCTTGAGATTTTTCATACATAGTAAAATTCATCACGTGTTTTGAGGGCGAATGAAAATTGATAGCTCCTACATTGTGCTTGCGAGTTTTCATTCACAGTAGACTTCACCATCATGTGCATGATCCTCCAATGAAGTGTCATCCGTATACTCCCTGGCCCAACCAACGTCTTGGTTACAAGCAACTGCATGTTTGTAATACGTGGCTAGACAATGCAAGAAGTCTCACGACAACCTTGCTGAATCTTTAGCAACCCCATCACGATGATATAATATTATTCTTCGTTATCATGACTCTCATATCGACGTTCAGAACTCGCAAATGTTCTTCCCTTGTCACCTCAATTAGATTTAGTGGATATCAGCACTGCTCTAAACTCCGTGTGTGTCGAGGACTCCATCACGAATGTAGCTTCGTCGCACTTGATTTGGAGCGCACAATCGGATACGGCAGGATTGTATCGGAGAATGTTATCGACTGTGCAATAGTACTTGTATTGAAACACGTATTTCTGATCCTACTCCATCTGGTACGTTAGATATTGATGTGCACACCATATACGGTGTCTAAAACTACGTACACATATTTCTAGGTAACTCTTATTGACGACTTCATTTTACCATCCACAAACTGCATGTAAAAGACATGTAAGGGTGTGGACGGTGACATACATATATCCACACGAAAAATTAGCTCTTCCAATTTCTACCCACATTGGTTTCTTTCTTTTGTGGTCTGCTTTGGCTTTTACTGACCTGGGTCGAACTTAGATGTGAGTTTCATTCCACCCGTCAACTGAATGAGTAGTGTACCCTACTCGCATGGCAGTCTTGACCTCAAACAAATTTGCAGGACTGCTAACAGAAGGAGAAAAAACCTCTCCTTGATTCAAAATTAGCATAGTACAGGACACACAAAATAAATACTAACAACTAAGCAAGGGTCGTCATGGTCCACCTTAATGACTCGATGTCATGACATATCAGATTATTGCAATATATGAACTGACACGAACTGTTGAATACTCCATAATTCTAAGCATGAAAGCCACAAATTTTCCTCGGAATATTTACTCCAGGCAAACAGATAGTGTTAACATACAATTCGGTACAAATGATCGAGGTCCGCGACAGCTAGGTTTTTAACAAAGTAACATTATCGACTTGGTGACCCTGAGCTCTTCCTGATATTGAAACCTGCTGACTTCCAGATGCAAGCTCTTCAACTTACCTCCTTCCTACGGTCTTGAGAAGAATATGTTCTTGAGCTCCAGTGGGGCACAAGTCAATGATGTTACTTTGAAAAAACTTTGCGTCTCAGACAACCAATTGACCGCAGGAGAGCCCAGCTAAGTGTGGTGAAAAGCGAGTTCTATCCTGGTTAGTGGGCAGGTACTGGGATTATACAGGATTTGATTAACTCCAAGACTTCTCTTGTCGCGCACAAAGATGGGTTGTAACTCACAATTCAAGCAACTCCCTCAATGGTCGTATGAAGTGCGTAGTGATTAGTATACAAGTAACTCCACCGTCTTCAGTGGAATAACGAGACTCCAGGTTAAAAACTTCAGCAGCACGTCCTACTACAAACTCAGACGCTTCCTGCTTCTTCATCGATATCATCTTCCATGTCGGCTTGGAGCTCCTCTGCTTCTCGGAACACTTCTTCAAGAGATTGGTTAACTAGCTTCCTAGATTCTCTCCTATGCTTATTGAGTGCTAGTCTTGGCTCTGCTTTCTTGACGCCTTCTGCTCCCATTTTATACCTGCACCAGCCAAAAACAACGCCAGACATAAGCGGTTGCTGAAGTCTATGAGATCAGACCATTACCATACTCTGTTTTCAGTCTAGGATGTCAGGTGAACCCAGTAAGTGGACAGTGACATGTTGGTGTACAATTCCACCTTGTCACAAACATAACCATCACAGACCTCATGTCGCTCTCCCGTTTCGTGCCAAGAACTTTCTTCTGCACCCTCTCCCTAGTCCGTATTTCGTCCAGCAAGTCAAGATAAAGGGAATATCTGTCCCAATCATCTCCAACTGCACAATTTGGTTCTCCAAGATGCATACAGTTGGGGAACGCACAACCGCCATTTTCGCTGTCGGCAATCCGCTTCCTTACCTGTAGGAAGTTGTTAGTCATTGACATAATTTATACAAACACAATGACAGCTGAAATACCTATTAAAAACCTGTCATCTACCCGTGCACTTATATAATAAGTGAGTGACAATCAGGGCTGCTTGCTTTTCCAAAAGAAGGGAGGTAAATCGTTGATACCCTTGGCAAATTTGTTACATAAGGCAGGCTACCTCGGGAAAAAGTTGGGGTAGTGATGAAGCTGAGACTTTGGCAAGGCTGGGTTGGCTGAACCCAGGTGTATCAGCGAGCAGCCCTACACCAGATGGTATCCGAAGAAGCGACACATGGCGTGTTGTATGTTTTCCTCTTCCACTCGCCAAAGACACTTCACCCACTCGCAACTCCTCAAAGTCTTCAGTGGCATCAAAATACTGCAAACGACTACAACATCAGAACGAGGACAAAGCAACTGAAATCTGAATAGATTGAAGTCGTGTTCTCAGCCAGGTTTCGGAGGACGAGTACAGTTGCATCACCCGATCTCGGCCAAGTTTGATAGTAAAGGAGGTAAGCCTTCCTTTACTTGGACTTCCGTAGAGACCGGGTCCTCTTGTACGACTTTTGACAGGTTCAGAAATCGAAACGAAAATCCACGTACCTGTAGGGCAGGAACTTCTGCTCTATCAACACCATCAACAAGCATTTCTGACAGCCGCATTTGATCGGATTCATACCAAAGTGGCAATCCTTTCTGGTCTCGCAACGCGTTGATCAGGCTGGACTTCCCAACCCCACTAGGGCCAAGAATGACGGTTACTCTGTTCTTCACAACACTGGTCAAATCCGTGAGACCTATCCTTTGATCTGCACTGCAAAGGACCGGCGTGTAGCCCCAGTCTGCAAGTCTAGTTTGCCACCATTCCACCACCTAAAACAACAAATTCGGTTGATTGGTAACACAATCGTTACCAAAAAATATAACCAAAAGCTGGTTACCAGCAGAAGACTTGTTATTCCCTAGAGGAACCGTGACACTCATTATTCGCCGCACGATCAGAACCACTTTGTATACCCTTCAGCCAGTGGAAAGAAAGTATACGACTTCGATGGAAGCAGCTGAATAAGGCACAGGTTATCCTTCGCTCGAGAGCGAAGAGGCTTGGCAAGTAGAATCTTACCTTTGGGTCTACGAGGTCAGCTTTATTAAGCACAAGAGTGAAATCGATTTCTGTTGATTCTGCCTCCACCAAAAACCGGCTGAGCACCTTTTCATCGATCTGTGGTTGGTCAATAGAAAATACCACGAGTAGGTAGTTGACATTCGCCACAGGAGGATCGACGATTTCCGAACTTCGGTCGAGAACTTCTTCTATCATCCCCCTCTTTTCAGTCCAGTCAATGCCTGACACCAGAACTCTATCTCCGACCAAAACCCGCCTTTTGATCTTCTTCAGCAGCCCTCTCACAACACAGAGAAGCTCCAATCTCTTATCTTGCGTGGTGGTCGACAATGGAGAGTCAGCACCATTGATCTCCCCTTCCGAAGGCTCGAGCGCAGCTCGGCTGTCCAATTCATCGGGAACGGCCCGTGCATTTCCGTCGCCAGCTGTTCCCCCACCATCGGACCTGCTTTCTGCCTCCAGCTTTCCACCTTTCTCGACTATAACTCTCATAAAGTTAGCCTGAGCGGTGATGACCTGTCCAATCGCCTGATCCTCATTCAGCAACGAGTCGCCTGTCAAATTATTACCCTGTATGAGCGGATTGCTCTCGACCGGAACTCCAACCGATCCGAGCTTGTTCGGCCTCTCGGTCGTCCTACCCTTAGATTGCTGAATCTTCCTGGAAGTGACATTCTTCCGAGCTGCATAAACCCTCACCCCACTCCCTCCACAAGCCCTCTCCGTCAAATGTGTTCCCACCCGACACACCTTCTCCCCTCCAAACAAAGACGCGCTGGACGAGCACGCGGACGCTGACCAGGGCAAGGAGGGCCCGGTCGGTATCGATGGTGATGATTTCAGGCCCGATGATGGCGATGCAACACTCGCGACGGCGAAATGAGAACAGAACGAAGGAAACGAACACACCCTCGATGTCATTTTCTCGAAAACCTTCACCAAACACTCATTCTCACGGATGCGGAGTCGGAGCAAGCGGTGGACTGAATCGCCCTCGCAATGCAGCTCACATTCATACGAGACGATTGTGGAGTCGAGCCATGGCCTTCACATGGACGAGGGACACCTGGAGCTCAAGGGAGACTTTATCTTCTTTCGTTTTGTTCTTTCGATGTTCTAGAGAGTGTGCTTCGTCTACTTCCACGTCAGCTCACTTCACAAGGAGATGTGAATCTCCCCTTTCGAGATGGAGGAGTCTCTCAACTTAAACCCGGCTAGTCTTCACTTTCGAGGCCCATTCCTCCGCTTGCAAAGTATATTTAATTTTGTTCAATGTCTTCCGGTAAGTTTGAGAAATCTTATTTTTATTCACAAATTAATTGCTCAGAATTTGCAGTTTTTATTATTTACCTTTATAAAAATTCCTTCGTATGGATTGCAAAAGTAGAACATATTAAGATATTATGCATTTGCTATTTGATCATTTGTGTTATATGAGAGATTAATTTATATATATTTGATATACTAATTTTTTCATTATTAGGTAACATACTTTGTATAAAGCATTCAAATTACTAAATTCGTAACCTTTTTTTTAATAAATTAAAACAGCAGTATGGTTGGCCAAGATGATGGTGATATTGAAATTAGAAGTCATATATTATTCATTTTGGATTTGATTACTTTTATAAAATTTTCATATTATCTAATACATTCAAACAAATTTATTCTTACAATAATTTTTTAACTTTTTATATTCTTCTAAGTCAACACAAAACAAAATAATATTTTTCCTTGTTAGTTTTAGTTCTTTGCAAATATAACAAGGACGAAGGATCAATTTATGATAATTTTCAACAACATGAAGAAAATAAACAAAAAAATCTATGAAATGAGAATCACCTACAATATTGACTCGCGGCTTTATGCTGTAACAAAATATAGCATATGAGTTTAGATAGAGAAGTTTTATGAAATTCATGATGATAACAAAAATCAAGAACAACTTAGTATTACAAACGATATGATGAAAAATAACAAGATGAGTGCATTACTTGATCTCAAATTTTCAGTTCTAAAGTGTTGCAATTAAATTAAATGATGTACATAAATAAATAAATGTAATTTCAAACTATGATTTTAAATCAATGTATATACTTCCACGAAATGTGAATATATTCAATGTAGATACATGGAAAAGATTAAATAGAAAATAAACTGATAGTTTGATATGCTATGTCTGTAAAATTATCATGTATCCTCAAGAAGTGAAAAGAACTCCATAGATATATCAATGTATTTGATGCTCGCGACCTCTTTATGTATTGTGATACAGTATCAACTTTTGGCCTTGTTTTTTCCAATCCATAGGCAAATAGTGCATGGATAGCATGATCAAAACATTACAATCCGGAGCTAGATTGAAAAGAAAAAAACCCCTAGAAAAATCCTGATTATAAAGTTTATGTAGATAGGTTTGAATTATGGAATATGTATGTACATTATTTTTTTATTGATCACGCATGATTTTTAAAATTTGATGCATGTTTCATGGAGTTTATAAAATATATTGTTGTATCAAAGTATAAACTTTGCATTAAGAGATGTTTTAGAAGTATACAAAGATTTCTTAAATGATAAACGTATATGATTGTCATTGAAGATAAGTTTGGGTCACAAGCACACCGACCTACAAAGTTCATGTTGTTTGGTTTAGAAAAAGTTTTAAAATTGTAAAGCTCTAATCTGAAAAAGTGTCGAGAAAATTTTACTTAACAAAAATTTTAATTTTATAAAACACAAGTAATATTTCTGGAAAGAAAACATAAAGGCACAAAGTTGTGCTTCAATTATTGTGAATTGAATTAACAAAATGATTTTTTTTTATATTAGTCCATCTAGATAACTTGTTTGATCAATTTCAAGGATCAAATACTTCACCAAATTGAATAAACAACGTCTATAATCTTTTTTCAATTTTATTTATTCACAATATCATTTTTCACATCACATATGGTATCTTTGACCTATACTTCTCTTGTTTCATTAACACATTTGATATATACATAAATTGTTAATATTTTGAAAATTATGCTATATATGATATCACAAAAATTATATTATAGCAAAATTTCAAATGATATTAAATATAATTGATGAAAGATAATTCAAGTGTTACGTGAAAATAAATCACATGCAACATTTTCAAAGTGTGAGTACACCATTTTAAAGTAGATTACTTTGATAATCACATCAATGTATAAAAATTTAAAATGATTATCAAAAACATAAAATTTAGTTAGATGGTGATAGCAAATAATGATCAAATTTAATTGAATATTTTTAAAAATGTGTATAATAAGTTTGTGAAAATATATACTTATTCATATCAAGTTTTAACATATTTTCTATATAAATGTAAAACGTGAAGATGAACAAAATTTGCAAAGTTACACGTTGAAAGATATTTTATGACATTTATTTAGAAATAAATGAATGTCATTCATTGATATCTTGACATTTAGAAATGTCATGATATCAATCCTTGAAAAGGGGGCGCAAAGTTCAACAGGAAAGTTGCAGATTATCAAATTGACAACTAATGCGTAGGTTATTACAATTTGTGTTATATTCAACAATAATTATATGATTGTCTGCATCAAATTGAATTTTACTCTTGAAAGTTAATGGCACCTGAGCAAAATTATTAAATGACTAAACAAGTATATTCAAACGCTATGTTGCCAACAAAACATTACATTCATTATTTAGAAACTATTTATTGATGTAGTGTTATTGTATGTTTCAAAAAATAATAATTTAATGAAAAAATAAAATCAATATGAAAATTTAACCCAAAAGTCATGTTTTAATCATGTTGTAAGTATGAAAATTCTACTAACTTATGGAGCCAAATGACATGTAATACAAAGAAAAATAAAAATTATGATATCATGACAAGCTTAAGTTTCACAAGCAACATATATGAATTTTATAAGATCAAAAGTTACAAACAAAACTATTTTTTATTAGAATTGAAATTGATCAATACATAAAAACGTAGTTGTGTGACATAGATTTTGTTACATGTACATATGCATTTGTATTTTTTTTAAAAAAAGTCGGTATGATTGTTAGATATGTTATAGCATACTTGGTCTACTAACCTATAATGACGAATGACTTAGCGAAATTATCAAAAAAACTCACAATTTGTTTTCATATAATGGATTCTTTAATGGTTGAAAATACCTTTGAATTTTAAGGTATTTAGACCATATATCTCTTATTTGAAAATTTTTAATCTTGATGTTTTCATGATTTACAATCAAAGTAGATGAAGTAAGAAATGCGGGTTGGTTTTTGATTTCTTTAAAATGTAATTGATGATTTTTGAAATGCATAACACGTGCTTTAATATGTGATGAATGTTTCAAAACAAATCATTTATGTACTGTAGTTGAACTTTATACAGTAGGGGCTCCACAAAGACTCTTAGACAGCCAAATTTGAAATCTTACAAACCGAAGAATTTCGCATAGACTCACACATTACCAAAAAGAATAATAATATCCAGAAAGGTTTTTTAAGACAAATATCGAGAAGATTCTGTTATGAAATCTATCTATATGATTCATAACAGTATTGCAGTATTTAACATAGCCACCATACAGTATTTTTTGTGTGTGTTTGAATCAAGATCAAGAGGAAAGTTGGATGTATATGAGAATCGAATCATGCTGGTAAGGGATGGAGGCTATATTAAGCGGCACTGAGGAAATTTATGCGGCATGCGCGACATTATTCCAGTTTAGAAAAACCAGGCGTCGCCCATTTCTCAACCCCCTTGAATCGAGTGCACATTCTCAAACGTTCTAAAACGAGGTCCATCTCACGGAGTCAGGCGAATTCCGCGACTCCGTCCGTCGCCAAAAGCACGAATGCTGACCGACCGATCAATGACAGGCCACGACCTTGTGCCGTAAGAGACTCACCAGAGGAATTCTCCTTCTGACCGTTGAGCAGTACAGTACTCCCATATCTTTTACCCGTTCGTAAGGATCGGGTACAGCGTTTGTGCGGGCGCATAAACGTTGGAGGACTGTACTGCAGCTCGGCAAACTGTCGACGGCTCCTCCCGGTTCTCGGTGGCGGCGGCATTTGCTCCCAAGGTTACAGGCCTCTGGAACCGGGAGTTCCGGTGACGACCCTTCTGATCCTTCTGTACCATACAGCGACGTACCGTACTGTGATCAATTCATGTGCCTTCTTACGTGAAGCCCGAACGCATCATCACATCCAACCACGGACTCCGCTAGATTCAAGAACAGCACAGTAGATCCCGTACTCACTGACGTCAAACGGCTCGATGGACTCGAGCCATCATCAAAGTTAGCGGGTGTCAGAACGCAGTGCAGGACAACTGAAGCTCTGGGGTTGCTTTCGGGTCTCGTCAAGTGTTAGTTATGAGCAGGTGAGTCATGACCGTGACATCTCACCTACATTCGTGGATGCCAATGTGGTTCAGATATATACTCCAGTACGTACCCTTGATCTTCAGACACTTTGAAGTCGTATGGTTTTGTTAGAGTGTTTTTAGGGAACGGCTAGTTATCACTCTAGTTTAATCATACGATTTTTTCACTACTTCTCCCCTCTGTCCGCGAATACTATATCGCACGATTGGTTTGTCCTCGCATGGTATCGACCAATCAAATATCTCTCTCATGAGGGTGAGGGATAACTAACCCCTCCCTTGTTTTCAACTCATAACTGAGTTTAAGTCATAGTTCATATAAGAAGCAATAGGGCAACATCGGGAGCCATTGAATGAAACCTTAGAAAATAGATTAAAGACAAGACAAAAGGAGTAACAAACGCAAAAAGGGTGTGGAAATAACTCCCCAACTGGCAGGAAAAGTGAAACATATTGGGAAGAAAAGAGAACTAGAGATCTGTCCTTTTCTGTAAGAGAACATTTTCTTTATTTCATTTGCATAGGAGTTTTAGAGAACGTGATTTTTTTTTAGTTTAGAAGGCATCACCAAAATTTTTGTTGTTGTCACAAGGTCAGGTAGCAGGATAAATTTGAGTATTTTGATATCTAACATTCCATATCATATTCTTTAACATGTGTCTCATTTGACACGAAGGTGATTAAGGGTATAAAATCACTTAAATTTAACTTAAAAATCCACTTCAAAAAGTTCAACCTAGCAATGTCTAAAGTGGACTTCTATGAATATAACAAAGTGTTTAAATTACTTTTCTAAGGCCACCTCATTCATAAATACAGCAAAACCTAATATAGCAAAACGGGCACATCTAGAGTACATTTGTCAATATTGGGTTCAGGATGGTTTTCAAACGAAGTTGGAACTCGCCACTGTATTGTACGATGGTCGTCTGGATAGAGTTCATATGTGAATCCGAAGCCTAACATTTAAAGGGCGCTCCTCCTTCTGCACGAATCGCGCGAGTGCTGCGAAATCCAATCATGACCACTACAGAGAGCATCGCTAGATTCGTCTCGTCCAAGAAGGGTCCCGTTGCCACTGGCGCCCATAGATTTTGCATTGATGGGGGGGGGGGGGGGGGGTTGGACTTCTTTTAGAAAAAGAAGTCCAACCATGTCATACAAGGACGACCTTCGATAGAGAGGTTCCCGCAATGAGCCACAGCGGCGTGAACCGGCTGCAACCAGTCACTGACCTGACAGTCTATCCGTGTGCCTAGTATAGAGGGTACTGGATGTATGGGACTACGTTCGGTAGGCGCGGATGCTTCAGCAGCAAGGACATATACCAGCAGCCAGCAATGGTCCGAAGAATAGAAGTCTGCTTTTTAAAAAAGAATCTGCGCACGGTCCACTTTCGTCGGGTTGTCTTGAAGACGATCTTGGTTCGTAAGCGGCTTTCGAAACTGAAGTGATTGGAAATTGCCCTTGGACAATTCAAATCTGACGCGTATTGTGGAGAGGCTGGAGTGGAGTCCTACGAGGTGGAAGTGGAGTTGGATTTGAACAATGACGACAATTGGCTGTGAGACAAGTTGACAAGCTGGCTTGCAATCGGGGATTGAGAACTTGAATTTGCTGAACTCGCTCGCGCGCGCTTGCTTTCATGACTTTCTTGAGGTTAGTGACATTTGAGAATTCAACTGGAAAAACAGCAAATTCTGACGGCTGTAAATTGTCAGCGAGAAAGATCTTGTCCTGCGTTCGGTTTCACGTTGCTCAACTGTTTCTTCCGCTCGATCGTTGAGCAAGTGATAGTGCCTCCTTTTTTTGGTTAGTTGAAAGAGTTTTACCCAAATACCAACGAATCAGCCCCTTCCTTCATTAATATCTGCCAGATTATTATCATGGCGTGTTCACAATTTAGACACGGGTGCTTTTGAAGGCATCGATTGTACTACCTATTTTTTAAACAAAGAACTTTTGCTGTAGTAGGGAAACAATTCACATATCTATTCAACTTGATAATCCTGCAGAATCAGCGCTTGCCAAACTTGGTAAGTTGCTCTGCTGCTGGAAGAAGAACAATAGTCATCACGTTGTGCGCTAAAACTTGTTTATTCAACTTACCTGACTGAACTCTTGGAATTGAACACTTCACTCCAGGGTAGAGTGTCAAAATGTATATGGGGGCCTGACAGGAACTAGCTCTGGCTAAGACAGCAGATCCACATTCAATGAAACCTTGTGGCTAAGAGTCACGGAAGTGTAGACTTTGACTGCGCATTTGAAAGATATGAACCCAAGGGCTGATCGGGTAAAGTTCCTTGTTCATGTGCGAATTAGCTCTTATTTGTCCCTGCCTCTGAATAGCGATCCCTGCATTTCATCATAGTTTGCGGGTACGAGGATTTCTTCAATCTCCTTTACTGGGGGTTGCAACCCTGAACATGCGCTGTGAGAGATAAAACACAGGATTGTGAAGGTATGTAAAAAATGAGCCCTCAGCGTGGTAGTCGAACGCTGATATATTGTATATTTTGTTGGTTTGAGTGCTGAACGTGGAAGTCCTTATCTCTGTTCTGTTCGAAGTAGTAGAATTTAGCTTCGAATCCTTCTGGAAAATTGTAGATCCTCTTTCTTGAGAAGGTAAAAATGTGTCTTCGTTATTAAATAGTAGTTAGACCCAGAGTTAATGATGTTGACGGTTGATGATTCTCATATTCAAAGAATTAAGCAACGAAGTATACACACTCTATATTGTTGGACACGAGACTCTAATGATGCCATATCACCAATTTCAGTGTTGTACTGAAGGACTAGTGAATAGTAGTGTGGAGCATCTCCAATATTGTTCTTTCTCTACTAGTATAGGTGGCAGGTTCCTGTCAACTGTGGAATTACAGTGGTCAATTAATCTGAACCTTCAGAAACAATTTTTAGGATCAGATGTATTTTGCGTCCATGAATGCCGCTCCCAATGTGCTTCTTCCTGTCTTGACCTACAGATTTCTGCACAGATGAAGCAGTTCTTGGGAAAATCGTTAGAGGTCTGGTGTCATCTCATATTTGATTCTTCTTCGTGCAGGGGGCTCTCACAGTGATTAAGGAGACCGCTCATTTCACGCTGCAGACCACGTGATGTCTACAGGCAATGAAGAACCAGATGGAGGTGGTACTGTGAGTACTCCGGAAGATTCTGAAAAGGAAAGGAGATGGAACTTGCGTAGTTACGCATCTCAAAAATCCAATGCCTCAGCGATTCCACCCACTCCAGTCCAGCAGAGATCAGGGAAGCGAGTTTTGTCGACTCCCGATGAGAGTCCCTCCGAAACAAGAAAAAAGTTGAAGTATCTGAACGTCCTGAAGCTGCATATTCTTCTACCAAACGGAACATCTGTCGATGTGATCTTAAACTTGGCTGAAGTTAGCACGATTGAAGGTTTGCTGAACATAATAAGAGATGCGAGCAATGCGACGCATGTTGCTTCTGATTCAAGAGGCAAAAAGCCTCAAAGACTGGTGAATTGGGAGGGTGGGGAATTATCATTACAGACTCTAGCTGGTGACATTGTCGACATACAGCATCTGGCCAACCTCGCTCACAATAGAACAAGTACCTCGAACTCTCTTTTGCTGCTAGATGGTCTGGATCACGACTCTACGTGGGTGGATGAGGTAAGATGACGAAGCCGTCGAGTATCAATCGCCGCATTGGATTTGGATCTGAAGTAAAAATATTAAATAGATTATTGGTTTTTTTGATGAAAGGATTTGATGTATGTATGTTGCAGAATCTCTGGAATGTTACACCGAAGCCGGAAATGCTGGGGCAGCTTCCACAAGGCTACACATTGGAGACCGCTCTTGCCGATCAAGTGGTACAAATTTGTTTTCGAACTCGTTGGCAATCCCATAATTTGTTTCGTAGCAATGATAAGTTTACGTACATTTATCTGTTACTACAATGCAGGATAACGCCTTACAAGCGGTTTGGCCTAACCAAGAGCAAAATGAACGCCGTCTAGTGAGCGTTGATTTGGGCGACGATAAAATCAGCATTTTTGATACCGGTCAGGGGATGGACAGCAGCCTAGAAAACTGTATCGCTAACTGGTAAGATCTACCCCGGTTGTTACTCAGACTTCTCAGCAGGCTTGATTTTGTGTTAAGAGTAAAAGAAGAGTTCACAGGTAATGATTGAACAACTCAAAACCACTCTCTTTTTCAGGGGCACGGTCGGAGGGTCCACACACCGCAGCGTGCATTATAAGGGCATCGGAGGAGAGCCACCATACTTGAAGGTTAGTCAGGTTTATACAACTGAATTTCTTGGGGACGTTCGTTTGAAGGCCCTTTTTTTCTCAGTAGCTTCTTCATTACATCGTGTTTGCTTGCTAAACTTCGAAACTTTTCCCTTGTGGTTGGATGTAATCTGAGCAGCCTTACCTGGGGAAATATGGAGCTGGAGGTGTTGCAGCAGCTTTACATCTCGGAGGGTACGTACACTATGACGACTCCCTATTGCTTCTTCAAAGAAACATGAGATAGGAAGGAGCTGCATCGGGTATGAAAGATATAGTACTCATTAAGAAGTGTGCTAGTTCTTGAGTTTAAAGGAGGAGAAAAGTACCTGAGAGGAGGCAGACCTTCATTTAGTCAGATTGGTTCCCATTTGCACTTTCTGTCCGAAGTTCCCCATGTCGAACGACAGTAACCAACGAAAATTGTCGTGATGACAATTTCCGTTCATTTCAGCCTTGAGTTCTGTATATAGGCTACTGATTTCAGACAACGAATCCTCTTACATCAATTTAGTGATATTTTAGCAATTTTTAGTGATGAGGTACAGTCTGTTCCAGGAAGGATCGGCAGACAGCCATGTAATGAACTGGAGTTTCATCTCTCTCACCAAGTAATGGGCAGGTGATTGGATCGTTCCCATGCTGCTACTCTGATGACTGACGGAAATTGCTCCCTCTAAATTTCATATCTTGGGGACTTATCGTCTTCTCTCCTCTTACATATTTTCCTTCACCATTTTGTCATCTTGTCTTCTATGCCCAATCCGTTCCCTATGTGGTCTTCTGAAGACAAATAAGAGGCCATGTTTAGCAGGAACTTGGCGTTTCACACTCAAGCTTTGCTTTATCTCTAGGGTCTTCCAGCTGTGTCACTCCTTAGACGGTTTACAAACCCAGCCTTGCTAGTTCAGCATCCTTACGTACGTAAGGATGCTGAACTATGCTTTTGAAGGCTTTCAGCTACACAGCTGTACAGCTTCTAGTCGATCACCTCGTAACGTATTGTCATTCCAGACTGCAGCCCTGTAATACAGAGTAACTCTGGCTGTGCCCAGGCTTACATACCGTTTGATATCAGTCGTGGTTGGCCCTGCACTGGAGGAGCTTGGTAAGTATGTCAACTTTCGTAAACCCTCGTATGTCGCTTCCTGTGTTTTGTTGGGTTGAGTTTTGTTTCTTTTTAACAGCTGCATCTTTTTAGTCTTTGGGGAAGCCAAGGTAGGTGCAAGCATACACACACGCGGTATCTCCTGTTGCCCCTGGAGGTCCTTTGGTGATCTTTGGAAGTTGAAGAACAGTACACTTTTGAACATTGGCCTTCATGGCCCACATATCAACCTTTTTGTGAGGAAGATCATCCCTTGCTTATCGCAGTTTCTTCATGACCCAGATTTTAGGCTGAAATTATAACGTGACGATGGCGGTGTTACGTATTTTATGTGTCTTGGCCATTTGTTTCCATTCAATTGTACGAGAGATAGAGCACCAGAGAACCACCTGACTGGCTAAGAGCATATATGCAACGAGATTTTTTATAATTGGATATTGTCGTCATAATTTGTAATTAGTCTCGCTTACGATTTACAAATGCAGTGAGGAACTGCACCATTGGGTTCTTTGGACAGTCTCATCTAAAGAGAGTTCTGATGTTTTTCGTCGTTTATCATGAAGAGTGAATTTTAGTGTTCAAGTTGGTGTCGTTTTGCTGTTTCCACGCAAAAACGTATAAAATCAATAGCTGTACGAAGGACTACTAGGTCTTACGTGAAAATCTGTACTAACTTGAATGAGTTCTCTTCTGTTCCTTACTTGGCCTACTTTCTTAGGCTGGTTTGATATAATAGTTAGTCTACGTACGTATAGCATAACTCAAGGCTTTTATCATACACATCAGCATCGTCTTCATGAAACTCACATTTCTCATTCGACCTTGTTTTTATATTGACATCGTTGCAATTAAAGTTCGCCCATACCATTCCACCCGCTCAGTGCAAGTCTCGTAAACTTGTAGATGTTTCTCGTGTCATGTCCTCTTTCTAAGTGGGGAGCTCCCTACAAAGTCCATTTCTGCTCTGTACGCACACTTAGTGCACATTCTCTCTCACCCAGCAGTTAACAAGGTCACATTTCTGTGCTTCTGGCTGCCGTTGACGGTACGGGTTTGATAGTCTGTGGCTTCTAGTTGTCTTCTTTCATTCCATAGTAAGCACTCGTATGCTGGGTCAATGAGTAAAGTAAGAGAAACCCGGACCCAGTGCGGAAAAGGTTGAAAGGAAATCAGTTCAAAGGAGCCGATGAGGTCAGTTGGGAGCGGTGGTGCCTTGATATTCACCACTTTAAGGGTAATGATTATTTCTGTATTTATGTACGAACTAAAAGATTAGTCTATACCGTACTTCCTTTCCTGCAAAAAAACCTTCATCTTGTAGCAGTTATAAGTAATTCTGCAGTTCTAGTTCTGAAATGTTATCTCTTATACTTCGTTTCTGCTTTATTCTTGTCACTAAGATCTGATCGTTGTGCGCTTGGGCTCCTACTCTGCATATTGCATCCGTTAGCCTTGTGGTCCATTCTTCTTACAATGCTATGACTTTCTCACTTCGTATTTACTGTTATAATACCTCTCAAGCTTGTGTTGAGTTTGTTTATATCCAAACTTGTTCAAAAAATGTTTACTCTGATCAATTCACGGTTCAAGCATCAATTCTATATTCAGGTCATAAAGTTGTTTACACTTGTGCTTGCAGCTGTGTCACGGTGTATTCGAAGACTAAGCAGTCAAAGAAAGTTGTTACCTTGAAGCTGGAACAGAAGGCCCTCGTACAGAAGCATAAATTAGACCCTGAACAGGGAATTTGGAGGGTAAAACTGAATTTTCTTTCTGACTGGACATCTGAAGGCATCCCTGTCATTCCACGCAGCTTCAAGTGTGTTTGTGTTTTTTGTTGCAGTAATTCATTTTGTCCATTGTGAGTGAGATGCTCCCACTACTTAGACTGGAGATTGGCGATCAACTACTAGTAATGGCTTCTGTAGACGACTGTAGAGTTTCACCCAACTGATTCCTTCTGAGTTACTGTTCAATATTGAACTCCAATGGCATTGTTGCACGTAGACGAGAGGAGAACTCCGGGAGATGACGAAAATGGAGAAGGAGAAGGCTCCACATGGAAGTTTCACGAGGGTACCTTCTCTATCTGTCATGTCACAATCAACCTTTTTAAAGCCTGTTGTGCTATTTTCTACGAGGGCGTCCAACCTAGATGTGTCAATGGTTGTTTTTGTCTCTTGCCGGGCCTGTAATCTAAGTAATCAATACATTATAAACAAACGTGCAGGTTGTGATATCAAAACTCAAATCTCAGTACTGTATGAAAGGATCGAATCAATACTGGAAAGTGGAAAAAGTGAAGCAACTACTGAAAGATATTTACTTTCCATATATTCAAAGCGAGTCAGCAAGCCGGACCATAACTCCGGTCGAATTCGAGGTAAGCCACTGGCCTAGCTACTTCTCGTCTCAAGTTTTGGGCGTCGATGCGTGAGTTGGATCATACACCCACATGGGTTTATCTTCTCAGTATATCTCGTCGCAAGCTTTTACCATTTAACCTTCGCATTCTTAGGGTGAAATTTGATTCTTTCTTCTCAAAGAAACTATGAGTACTTGATAATGATTGAATTTGTCTTTGAGGAACCTTGCGCACCGGAGAGAAGTAAAGAACTTAGACAAAGGAAGGGCTAAAAGTGAATACTATACGGATAGGAACTTGGCGAGAAATTTTTCAAGCTCTTGGTAATATTGAATTCATGCAGGTGAACGGAACGAATCTACTAGAAGTCACAGAGTGTGAGATGGCAATTGCCAATCAGCTTACTTGTATCGGAGCTCCTTTCGTTTTCTCTATTCACATGACAAAACTACCGGAGGGTAGGTTCCATATCAAGGTTTGCTTGTTGACAATAGAAAAAGTGACCAAATACATTGAAAGGAAACATCTGCTAAAGTGTAACTTCTTTCACTTTATTTAATGCAGGACCTTACTATCTTAGAGATTAAAACTACAGTATCTGCGATCTAGAGAAAGTAGCAGGGTTTGCCATCTTTTTCTACTTCAAAATGACTCTAGTGTCCGCAAGTTGTCTAAAATTTCTGCATGATGTATTCAGGCATCCTCAGGAATCTCTTTTACTTTCATAACAGCAGAGGAGAGCAAGAAATTGTTTCATGCTTGGAGGAATGAGCGTTTTCTCATTTCAGAAGAAAAACCAGATATTGATGTATTTTCATCTTTTGGACTTCTGTACCTCGTATGAACCATCAAGTTACCCTTTCTGTCTACAGATAGATCTATTCAACCTCAGCTTATGGATGAAGCCAACGCACGCATCACATGTCAGTACTTTCCAATACAGCGGGTGAGCATATCTCGTTTATCCGATGTGGTTTGTTGTGATGTTTGCTTTCGGTCTTGTATAAGTACGTGTCGTTCTCTCAGGAAGTATTAATCAGAAACGAATACCGAAAATTTGACAGACTTGAAAAGGGTGTATGATAGCCGCCCTCCCCTCCTTCCCCTCGCCATAGAGAATCTCCTGCAACTCTTAAAAAAAGAAGACGAGAGCTCTGTTCTACTTGAGTAGCACTGTGAGATTCAAACGTTGGAATTGCAGGGTAAGGAGGCCTTGGAGATTGTTTTAGAAGAGGTATCAAAACTCAGGCCTGGAACTCCAGTTACGTTTGAAACGATGCATCGCGTCGTGGTGAGATGGCTGGGAAGACTCCTTCCGGAAGCAAAGTGGGTAAGTCATATACACTATGTCTTGGTCTGAACTTGCGAGTTCGTCATGGTTAACCCATCTTTCTTCAGTTTATGGCTTCATTTACCCAGGAGTTGATAACACTTCTTCCGGGAGGCTTGTGTATACACTCGGTCGAAAACGTAGAGAAGGAAGGGAAATACGGTTATGTAAATTTATTAACAAGTATGCCCCAGAGCGAGCATAAGGTGGAAACTGATCATTCCGCTTCTTCAGAATATATTACCGTTCATGGAGGTGACAGCGAAGAAAGAACAACGCTCACATGTAAGACAACAGTGGGCGAAACGGGTACGAGCCTATGTGGGTAAGCTCATGATCACTCCTAGCAAATATTTCTTAAGAGTCCAGTCATATAATGATTCAAAGAAGGGGAGATATCATGAATGAGCTCTATGTGGAGTTTTTTTTCCAACTTAACAAGGAGCTTCATAACATACAGGTTGTTAATTGTGTCCAAATATCGGTTCTTTGTTGCAGAAACGGATGCTGGTTTTCAACCGAATCAGTCAAAGGTAGTTGTCAAATATATTTGTCGTACCTGTCTAGTTTTTTTGTTTCCCCTTTCTGTAGTTAAACACATCTTGGAGACTTCAAGACTAATGCCAGGGTATGAAATGCTCTACAGGTAGAACTTGATCGCGACCATCTTTTTACGCTTGCTTTGAAGCAGTTGGGAGCTGAAAATCCCAGTGAGTCATCAGAGGCAGGTGGGTGTTCAGGATATTGACTGGATATAATTAGCTTTCGATTTTAGTCAGGCTCTTGTACACGACCCGTTTGATTAAGTCTGTACTAGATCTCCACCCTCGCTCACAAGAATCCTGAGTTTATATTGCGTCATGCAGGCGTAAAGTTGGAGATAAAATTTTCAGGCAAGAACAAACCGGTCAGTCCTACGCAGCTTGTTGAAGAGTACTTTGCCTGGCTGGAAGAGATGCATTCCAAGTACGATGAGGAGGTTACTTTTCTGGATGAGCCTGCCTGGCTTTTCAGCCATCCAAATGCTGATAAGGAGCTTGGAGTGTATAAACAAGGTGTGGGAAAAATAGTCCAAAATTTGTTGCTACTGCGATTTTCACTTTCATCACTCGGAAACTGACTATTAATTCGTTCCATGCTATCAACGAATATTTGAATGGATCAATTCATAAAATGGTTTCATGTTTAGGTTACTTCGAAATCGAAATGTTAGATTCCCTAAAATACGGTAAATCGGTAATGAAGAAGAAGAAATTTACAAGGTACAGCCACTAGACACTACCTGTGGGTGCTACCCGCCTTTTATTTAGGGTGCTATAGCATCGGTTGTACATGATATTCTCGTTGAGAGAATATCCTTTTACTAAAGGTGAACAAACTTGGCGGGTCGGTCACTGTGTATTCTGCGATGGAACCAAGGCGGCTTCTAATATATTAAATCATTTTCAACATTTAAAAAAGGAATTAATATACGCTTCAAAGGATCAGTCTGTGCGGAGGGAACCAAGTCTCCATGCCATAATATCCTGTGCTATTATAAGATGCAATTAAGCTGATTCGTTCTTAACTAGGTTCCTCCAGGTTCAAAATATCTCCAGTTTTTATGTTATCATGTCACTATACGTGCGACATTTCACGCTTATTTATGAACTCAGTTGGGAATGTTACAGCTGAAGCCTGAGTGGGGTTTATATCCAGCCTTGTCCAAAAAACGATAGGATGTAATTAATATTTGGATACTGGTATCATTTAGTTGTAGGTCTACCATATTATTGTGGGTTCAGGTAATTCAATCCTGCATTCACACAGGTTACAAACCAGGAATATCAGCCTTTGCCTTTGAAATCTTTGATGATACTCCACCTACTCAGATGGCTTCTTACTGAGGTCTCATCTTTTGTTCCTATACGTGGACAAGATCCATCTTAATTTACGTCATTTCTAGACTTATATCATAAAACTATATATGCTACTCGTCTGGACCCCAACTTCATCATGGATCACTATGGTGTGGAAGAACCTGGCTTAGAGCAAGATTTCCTCGTCTCGAGCTTTTGTTGTAAACCAAGAGGTCAGCTAGAGCAAACTCGGGGCAAACTGTAGACTAACTCTTTAAGCCTATTTTAAAGTAGAACATCCTATGATTCCGTTGAAAGATCAACAGCCAATTGACCCCCAGAGAAGGAGAAAGATCGCTTGTTACATGTGTTGTAGCACGTTTTACGTAAAGCCTTAAGGAATTGTACCCTAACTATTATCATCCTGTTATTCTCCCTGAGATAGTGCATGGTGGTTTGTGTACTGAGCATGCACTCTCTTTCAATATCCATAGGAGATCATACTTTGCTTTTCACAGGCTACTGGGATCTGTGCTATCTTGTTGTTCGAGACTCACCAGAGGAGAAAGATGGCGAACTACGCGCAACTTGCACACTGTGTGGTCAGGACGACGAGATTCTTGTTACTTTTTCTTGGATTGCAGCTCTCTTCTTAACATCGAAATGCTTCTGAACATCGCTCTGCTAGTGGACTCCAAGCTATTTACGGAATTTACCAGCCTGGAACCAAAGCCCGAAGCAGCTGCAAATCTGAGATGTAGCTAGTGGAGCTTCCGCAAACTTCAAGTGGATGAGTTTAGTAAATGGTTTTTTTGTTGAGTTCTTAGAAACTCTGAACTAATCTCATGTATGGCGAGAAAGACCCCTTCCACTCTGAAGTAGGTTTCACTCGTTCCCCTCACACTTAAATATCGCGTCATCTCCAACTACCAAATCTCTTCAAATGAGCGCCGGTGAGACAGGACGCGGGGTCTTCAAACTACGCCAGGCACATCCTAGATGCATATTGTGCTTTGATCAATGCTTATGTGTAATTTGTGTTTTTCAGCCTTTTGACCCTTTGGGTCCCCCGGGCTTGATCTATTACCATTTACCATTTACCATTTACCATGTTTGTTCTTGGGAGTCATTTTGGGTTCTGCAGACAGTATAAATTGTGCTCATACCAAGTACTTCACGCACTTGACTGTTTATTCTCATGAAGTATCAGAAAATAAAGCAAGAGCAATGAAAGAAAGGGTCGAGACACAGGTACTGTGTCCTGGAGAGAAGATCTTAGTTGTTGTTCACAGGAGCCGGATTGGGTTTAAGTACCCAATCCGAGGTGACAAGGGAAACCGGCATTTACACCTCCGTAGTGGGAAGGGTAGTGGTGTCAGGGACACCACCGTAGTGGGAAGCGTAGAGGTGTCTAATGATTACAAGGACACCTCAATAGTAGTGGTGTAGTGGGCTGCAGTCTAACTATAATTACACAAGAAGCAGCGACAGAAGGAATAGGGAGTAATCAGTATTCTAACATGAAGCCTTTGAGTTGAAAGCGTTATGGTTAAAACTTTCAATTTCTCAATGTAGAAAAAAGTGTGATATCATCTACTGGGCTACCGTTTGGAGCAGAGATGTATGTGATAGAGCATGAAGTCGTCTGAGTTAAATCTTGTTGATATCCTTGCCAAACAAGAACCCAAATGAGCGCGAAGTCTTTATATTTATTGGTTATACTGCAAGGGCCCCGTATGGCTTTAGGAGTCAACGTCACTAATCTGCTAAGCATCTACTGTACATGGGTAATCTGACTGGCAAGCTTCTGCGTGCTGACAGTTATTGTATTTCATAAGCGGCTGAAGGACACCACGGGTGAATGGATCATAGACAGCAAAAATCCTGTACGAGTACGATTCCTAAGAGGGGCTGGTTCCTTGAAGAACGATCTATTTGCTACTCTCGAATATTTTTTCAAGGAAGGCGACGATGAACATGGTTTGTAAATATCTATTTTTTTTTGCAAGCAAGTGGCTACATTCATTATTCTTCATGGGTCGTCCACGCCAAATGGAGAGAGATTATCAGTTTCCTAATCTAAATTACGTCTTTCCTACGCTGTTGAAAAATCATAACACCTAAATTTAACTCTGAGTTGTGATTCCTTCGCAGGTGAAGTGAAAGTATTGTGCAGGTAATCTTCGAGTGCTAATCTGCAGCTAAGTAATCTTGACGTACGTTAGGTTTTCTTGACAAAGCTTATAATCAACATTCCATGTTTGTGCACTCTCACCGAAACTCGCTGCTGACTTTCAGGGCTATTGACGTTGATGAATCGGAAGGATGTAGACTGTTTGAAAAAAATGGAAGGCTGTGTTTTGAGTTGAACAAATCTCAGTGGCTCCCGGGATCTGTCTTAAACGGAGGGAAGGTACAGTATACGCATTATGAAAGTTCGCTATTAATGAGGTTGAGAACGTTGGAAAAGCCAGTCTACAACCTCAATCAGAGTAGCTCGTTGGCTTAGTTTTGACAACTATCTTTGCGCTACTTCTGAGAGGGGCGTTGTGTAGTTTCAGTATTTACAATTGCAGGTTTGAGGCCGAATTGTTGACAGCTTGTTATGTCTTTGTAAAGTGTCAGCGAGTGGACCCTGCCTCATGGAAGAAGAAGCTAGACGAGCTGTTGAACAAGGCTCCCGGGTACATTGATATCTTGGACGAGGAAGACCTTCAAAAGTTTGAATTTAGTGGGGTAAGGAGCAGTATACCTGAGAACTAAAAGCTGGGACCTTTTTGCTCAAACAGAATTACCGAAATGACGTACTCTGTCCTTCGTTAATCTCGAGTGTTTGCGGAGCAGCTTGCCATGTTGATTTTTAAGATTCTGGACGTAATATCGTCTCTGTTTTCCCACTTTCACATTATTTTGGATGTAAGAGTAGCCTTGCTTGCTATATAGGTCCCTCGATCCTTCCAATATTTGTTTGTCATCTATTCCCAGTTTTTTGCTTTACGATGTCCTTCTTCGTCAGACTGATGCGACGATGATCTTACTGTACTCGGGAAATGGGACTTGTCGTCACGTAAGCCAATCACCTCAAAATTCAGCACCCTTTTCAGTTTTTCAATGGTACCTTAATTTTGGAAGGAGTCCTAAAGCTAGAATGCCTTTTTGCCGTCTTCATTGCTGTCAGTGACCACATTGTTTGAGAATCATTCCGCGTGGTAAATATATTTGTTATGTTTCTAGTCGTAAATCAGTTCATGAAGATGTACCGGTCTAGTTGACTCAAAGAGGGATCTGTGTTACCGCCACAGTTGTCCCTGTTAGGTCCTGAAGTATCCTGTCTCGCTTCATACATTAATCATAACTTCGTTGCAGTGCAGGCCTTTCCCAAAAGCAGTAGTAAGTTTGAAGCTGGCTACACGTTGCCTCCAGAAGTTTTGGTAGTTGTGCGTCCTAAAAAGGGGACAGGTCCATCACACAAACAAGGAATGATAGTTGCGGAACCTATGTCCATGAAGTTGACTGTCAATCATTGTAAGTGTACTGGGCCATCTTGCCGCATGAACACGAGGAAATCTTCACCAGGAGGTGCTTCTTCTTCCAGCGAGGAGCATTCGGAGCTCGTTTGTAAATTGGTTTCGAGGAGCATAGTCACAAAAACTGGAGTGAAAGGATTGTACAGTTTCAATGTTGGATCCTCTGATGCAAGTCGACTTACAAGGCAGGGGACATACTTGTTCCACTTTTCATCGGTCAGTGCAAAGCTTGTGCAGTAAAATGCTTTAGTGACTTAAAAGCAATTTTGCATGGCATTTGTTCGTCGCTTTCGAAAGTCTATGGTTAATCGAACCAGTTTTTGAACAGGAGAGTGAAAAGTGCACTTCGATAAGATCGGTGACGTCATCAATCCGAATTGTGCCATCAAGGAACACTTCTAACTGGCACTTGAGTACTCAGGCCAAAGTTGCGAATTTGACCTCTTCCAATCCGAGTACTTTAGTCATCAGGTGATCCTTCCACTCCCGTATTACTTACCAGGATTTCAGGAAGTTCTTCAACATCTTCTGGTCTATCGGATATAAATTACCGTCTACCACAACACTTCGTTTTCCCTGTTATAAAAAGTCTTGCATTGCATTCGAAAGGTTCACTCCCTCCGTTTCTAGAAAGGCTAGCTTTCTCTTATAAGGACATCTTGTTGCAGAGTCAACGACAAGTTCAGAGATGACCTTATTCTTCGAAAGTATGACGAGTTTGGTAATCCACAAACCTTTGATAAGGCAATGCCTGTTGAGGTTAAGATTGTTACTCCAAGAGGAGAAAGTCTGGAAATGACACAAAAGGTTACAGCTCATATTGCACTTTCGGAAGGAAGGCAGCAGGGAGGAGGGTTGCAGATTAAGGTAGGGAACGTCATGCCATATCAAGTTGTATAGGAAAGAGCTTGATTCAAGTTGATCAGCTGTGCATATTTAAGGAATTTTAATTAAAAATACTGAGTTATGAATTCCACTCGGGTGTCTCAGTATCTTTCTTGGAGGGTTCAGACCGAATTGAAGTCAATATCCGTTAGAAGAGCATTAGACATGTTTTATCTCTATCGTACTCAAGTTATTCCAGTGTTGTTGAAGTGTCATCAAGTGAAGGTGCATAGAACTGGCAACGGTTTGGAGATCTATCTGTGACCAATTTAGTTGATATCACAGGGTCTCCTCTTTTCAAGTGGCCATCTGATGCGCGTCGAGCCAACCTATGATGCTCTTCTGCGAGTACACGTCGCAGACGATAAATATGGACAGATCCCTTGCAAAGGTATTCATGCTTTCGTCAATTCCAGTTTACTATTCAATCGAGGCGTTGTATGGTGACGTGGAGCCTGGGCTTAAAATGTTTGTAGCATGTCCTCAACAGTGGCTGTAAAATTGTAATGTTATGCTGAGGTTGTGAAATGTATGCTAATCGTTACGTTTTACTTCTTACTATATTATTGAACCCTTGTTATATAAGCCTATGGAGTTAATGTTACTGTTGTGCATGATCTACCAGTTCTTCCTGGAGTATTGGCATCAGTACGGGTAAAGGACAGTAGACCTCCCATATCGATGGAACCTGTACGGGTTCAAGAGTCCTTGCGAGCAGGGGATAAAGTCGACAAGTGCTTGAATGCCACGGAGCATATGTGTTTCGATGAACAGCTCCGCCCTGGAGATATCATTAAAAGACTTACTCTTCAGGTTATCGTGGATACACTTATTATCCAGCAATTCAAAGTTATTATGTTTATTATATATATGTATTTAATTGAGGGAACAACGTGGTGAATTTGTTCATTTTCATCTGCATCGACTCTTATTATCGTGATTTTTTCACTTCTTCTCATGATCTAAAGCTACTAATGCATACCCGAAAAATTCAGGGACTAGACGCTTCTGGTAATAAGATTGACAAGGATCAGAAGATGCAAGTCAAGCTCAAGGGCCTCGAATTTCAGGACAACCTTAGCGATGAGAGAGAGGTACGGTGGATAGATCAGTCATGTATGGATGTATCTACACTCAAATGGTTTATCTGAAAATTTCAGATAATCCATTTGAATGTAGATACATGCTTTTTGATCAAACATTTTAAACTACATGTGAGATGATTATACCCTCTCTTCTTGCCCTCGACCTGCTCTTTCGCATGTTAGGAGCTCATTTCTCGCTTACCTCCTCTGCAGTCTGGTCCACATACTCAGACGTAATCTTCGGCTTGATCATTGTCACTTGCGTATCATTACATTGCCTTCTTGTCTATACGTACTGTATCCTGTGTTCCCCCACAGGTGTGTCTTAGACACGTTTCTTAGACATGGTTGGGCCAAGTGCAAATCATTTTCATACTCAATTCGCGGTTTTTCTAGGCTATCTTGTAGTTGTTCACTGCAGCTACTCTTGCAGGAGTACAGAAAATCTCTTTCATGTATATGTAATGTGCTCTTACTGCTTTCAGGCTATGACAGGAAATACAGCTTCTCTTTTCCTATGCCTTATTTATTTAAGTATGAAGTATGTCGCTTCTTTTCATCCTTTGCTATGAACGATTCAAGATACTCGTTCATGCTGCTATGCAATGACGTCTTCGTTATACATAAATATATATATTTATTTCGTCCGCTCTGCATGAAAGTCATATGCACAATAGGGTATTTACTACACATCACTGTCTGTTTTCTGTTTATATAATGGTCTTGAAAGCGGAACCGGAACATCCAATAGAGATTTTACGATCTTTGATTCGACAATTCCAAATGGATGATTGGGTTGAGTCGTCGGAATCTTTGTCCTTGGATTATATTCATATGTCTGAACTTCTCGGGGTTTCCAAGGAACACAAGGAGTGAAAAGAGCCTTATTTACTATGCAGGCTTCAAAATGGTTGCCATCTAATCTTGAAACGTTGTTCACTACTAAGTCTTTGACCTTGATGAGCTCACTTTCAAAGCGGTTAACAGGTGGATGAAAATGGGTGTTTACATCTCGGTGGGCTGCTGCGAGTAACTTCTCAACACGATTATAGAGGTTTGTCGATGGAAACTCCTTGCCATATGTCTGGACGTTTTGAGCACCTTCAGTCTTATCTCTTGTGGAATACTCTTTCTCCATGTTGAGTGCCAGCGTAGCGCAGATAATTATCATCACTACATTAATCAAGTTTATGATATCTTGCGGGTTAAGTGCTTGTTTCGACAGTCATTGGATAAGCGATGATTCTGACCCGCAAATGAAACGAACATGTTAACAACGAGGTCTGGATATCAGGGAGTGAACGAAAAACTGTATGAGAAAGCTAGGTAGCCAGCGTACCCCAAGAAGTTGCCACTCGCCGCAGAAAATCACTCTCGTCGTTGAAAATGCACAGGTTACGTTGGGATTCTGTCGGAGACGGGCAAGCCTATATGCAATATCTACTTCAAAACTGTCACGCGGAAGTTGATTGCGACCCAGGTAAGTTCATAATGTTTAAGGAATATACGGACGTGCCTTTTTTGTTGCTTTATGATGCACTCACTGAACATCAGTGACATTAAGAGATTTGTAAGACAACATAAAACTCCTCGTTTTATTGGTTATAAATGTAACATTGACTCGGCTAACCAGAATTTGATATGTTTTATTCCACGATAAAACAGGTTCCAAGCAAGTCCTTTGTTGGCAGAGATATGGAGGGCATTACAGTGAAGATTGTTGATGAACATGGAACCGTGGATACTGGAATAGATGGCTACAACCACTCTGTTTCTGTGGACTGGCAAAAGGGAGTTGCTTTTCCTTTTGTGAAAGGAGAGTGCGTTTTGCCACCAGTGAGGTTGCCCAACAAGCCTGGGTGGTGGCAAGGCAGAGTTCGTTTTTCTGCCAACCAAAGTCTATGTGTTGAATTAAAGGTTTTCTTTTCACACCACTTTTCTCCCTTGATTTGCTCCAAGCTTCTTGTGACAAGCATCAGGTACATATGAGGCACTTATAAACAAAGATCGGAATGAAGGAACTATCATGTCATACAGAGAACGTTTTTGTTATAGAGTCTCTTGGGACATGAGCCATGAGACTTAGTGAACCATGAACTCCATCTGATCTCCGGTTGAGGATCACGTTTAGCTGTGATTACATTTGTTGTATAAACTGCGTTAGCCACGTTGGGAGCTTCGTAGGCCCGATGCTTTCCTTACCCTTCAGCCAGATGCACAGGAGTTCTCAGGAACTTAAGTCAGAGACTTAAGTCAGAGACTTAAGTTCCTGAGACTGAATGAAACATGATACAAATCTGACCTTCATGAACCAAACCTCTTTGCAGGCAGCAAATGTGGGTCTTAGCTACGATTAGTTCGCGTGAGAGGGTCAAATGTCAGTCTCTCTTTTTGATGTGTAACCCCGACTTCTCCCCTATTTCGATTTTACACTTCACAACCGTCTGTATCTCCACCATTGAGTAACATTTACAGTCATCAACCGCATTCTGTCATATCATTTTCCGGCAGAAAAGCTAGTAGAAGCCTTGATATGGTTAGGTAAGGGACAAGGTAAAAGTATTGATCTTGTCTGAGGCCTCCGAGCCACAACTGACCTCGTATTGAACTAAATATGTTGTTCAAATTATTGTGAAAGACCAATATGTTGAATAGACCATACTTCGTGGAAAATCTGTTACCTGGGTAGATTTGTGTTCGGTTTCATTTGTCTTAACCCACTGGAGGTTGTTAACTGGGAATCGGTCTGTGAACCTGCGAACGTTGACATGTTCTTAATCGGGATAATATCAAGCAGGTCTTTGTTCAAATTATGGACGTGTTGCAACACACGAAGACATTAAGTGATAGAACGCGGGACTACTGACTGAATAAAATTTAGGATTACTTGACTAGATACAACAAAAAACTTCGCTAATTGGTCCCTGTAATATTGAAGTGTCATTCGTGGTGACAGTCAACGTTTTGTTGTCTGGCGTTTCCAGTTGTATTTTCATTTGTTGAAGCTCATTCGCAGTAACTATGATGGCAATCTTAAATCTTTTTCCTATCAAATGCGTCAAGTTTCTAAGTTCGAAGGAAGTGTCTTACTGTACTTGACCGGAACGAGGAGATAAAGCCGTTGAAGTCATATACATGACGATTTAGGATGCCATCTTCTTAAGATGCTTGCTTCAAATGGCTCATTACTTCGCGTATTCTTTCCACGATGTAATGAGATGATGCTGAAAGTTCAGTCCATCCTCAGCCAGGAGTTATCTGTAGTCAATTTCAGTGTTGTAGTGAAGTGCAGTGATCATACCATCCTCGCTCTAACCTCAACGCGAGCGAAGTAGATTGGTCTTAAGAAATCTTATAGCTTGTAAGCTCCTTTCCTGTTTTGATCCTGAGCCTAATCCTTCTATATCGTTCCTTTCCTCCTCAGTGCACATGGTCACATCGTGTGCAGAAGTCATCTCAAGAATTACTTCTTACGAGTTGCTTGCTTCAACTCGAAATGTAATGAAGAATTGTCAGTACTTGGTTTGCCCATCACGTAGGCGCTTGAGAGTCCCAGCTGAATTAGAGTCTTATTTCAGCAGCTTGTTGTGTGGAACTCTATAATTATTCGGGGCAATTTCGGCTGTGGTATTCGTACTGACTTTTACGTCGCTCTCCATATTTTGTAGGTCGAATTAGAGTTATCCGTCGGATGTGTCTTAAAAAATCCTGCAAATACTCAAGACGAGGTTTTGATTGCAAGATGCGGAAGCGCATTCGAGTTTCCTTTTTGGGTTGCTGATGAGCGAGGCCATCCTGCTCTTATACCGGAATCTATAAAAAACACAGTAAGTTCGTTACACAGTTTTTCAGCTTCTGGTCTTGTCTGAATTATCCTTCCTCTATTTGAAAGTAGATAATGTGATACCTTCAGCTTTACTATCTGTATACACTAGAGGCCTTAGGACATGGCAGGAGTTGACTTCAGTTTCGATCAAGTCATGAAGGTTAGCATCAATATCAGATCAATCGCGTGGGTTTTCTCGACTGCTTCTGATTAGAGCCCATTTCTAGCAGATGTTACAACTGAGAAATTTGTCGTAATTGTAGATTGTGGTGAAAGCTGAAGCGCAGTCAATTTCAGGAGATGAAGCCCTAGAATCTTGGCCCCGGCCTTGCATGGTAACTTGCAGCAACATTGTCAAGACCGACAAGGATGGTGACGGCTACAAAGCTGATGTTGTTCTCACTGGGGATATTGGAATTTACTCCCTCGTCATGATGGATACGAGTTCGAGATTCAAAGGGGAGGTTAAATATACCTGTAAATTGAACCCCGGAAAGGTTTCTCATCTCGTTGTAGAAATTCATCATCCGGAGGTCCGCGAGCAATTCGGAATGAAAGCACTGCACATCCCGATAAATGAAGAATTTCCAAAAGTTGAAGTGACTTTACTTGATTCTGAGAACAATCTTTGCACTTATTGTGAAGGGAAGGATCTCCGAATGATTGCCGAACTCTGTCCTCAATTCAAGGAAATCAGAGGGAAGGTTTGTAAAGGCACAGCGTTGTTCAATCCCTTCACTCTGGACATTCCTGTGGGCAGTTACACCATTTGTATTAGCCTAGATACTCCTGAGTCACTAGATTACAGATTCTGCCTGGTAGTTGAGCATGGTACGTATCCTTCCGCACTGAAGCTTCTTGACAATGCCGATATTGTAGTAGCTCTAGCAGGACCAGAAAGTCAGGTTGTGCTGCCAACGATGGGAGTCGAAGTGGAGTCGGCTAGTGGGTCCAGAGTTCAGTGGCGGAAACTTTCAGTTGGCCTCAGAATGCAAAGCTTGTATCCTGTCCCGGTTCATATGCCGGTACCTCATGCCCGTGAGTTCTTAGGCAATGCAATTGACTCCTCCGTACCAGAGTCCACTAGGCAAGAGGATAGTGCGTCTTCAAGCAGAGGACCACTCTCGGATAACTCTGTGAGGTATGAATTTAGGGACGTACATGCACCCACCACAGCAGGAAATTATACACTGGAATTCTTCATACGCGGCTTTGCGTTAGAGACCCAGTGTCGGCATCTCAGAGTGACACATGGTCCGCCCTGCAAGTTGGACATCGTAAGGGGGCCATCGGGTGAATCATTAGAGGTCCTTCAAGTAAATCTCTTGGATGCTTATGGAAACAAGTGCGAAAGTGTTTCGGGAATAGATATCAGTCTCCGGTTTAGTCTGAATCAAGCCTTTAGCCAAGAGAATCCTTCGTCGCCTCGCGGACTTCAGCCCTGCTCCGTATATAGCAGAAAGTCCTCCACTATCGTTGATGGAAAAGCCGACTTTGGACCGTTTCTTGTCACTGATGGTCTGCCTGCTGTGTACGTGCTTGAAGTCTACGCGGAGAACGTTGCTTTGACTTCAGCGGAAGTTCAAATTTTTGTTACTCGTGGGGAGCCTACTGAGAGTATTAGACAGCAGTTGGTTAAAGTCAATGAGGAGCGTGGGGTGAGCTAAACTTTCCAATCTAATCTTCCAAACCGTATTATGTTTGACACTGCTACTAGCCATGTGATATAGTGCAGCATGATGTTCCATAAGTTCTAGGTAAGTTTTTGCCCATTAGAACAGGAAATGAGAAGAACTTGCTGACAAGAATAAGTAAATCATTGAGTCTCTTCAGCTGAGAGTTAGTGCGGACCTTATGTTTCTGAATACAATGTCTCTTTTTTCCCGCCAGGTTTCTCCTTTTTGCGTTCACGTTGGTATTCTATACAGTTCAAATCTTGGTGTCCCAACTTGAGCGTGAAGGTTTTCGAACAAAATATTTACTCAAAAGATGCACGCAGTGACACGGATTTTATCATCAATGTTGATGGGTAACATACGGACATTTCCCCCTATGGGTTCACTCTTGTTGTAATTGTTTTGCAGACCCTGTTTGAATATTGCAAGTTGTTATCGCTAGCGAAGGAGCATGTGGGGCACCGTCAAAGAGAGAGGGATTTTTTATCAGGAGCAGTAAGAAAACTGGAAGGTATGTCTTTTAATCTAGAAAGTTTCGTTTGCACATTTCATTCGTGATATATCGTTTTTACTCTGTGGATACTATGGTCGAGGGGCACTGCCGAAGGTAACCAATGGTCGGCCCACAATTTTACCCTGCTCGCTCTGGGGCGACATAGAACCCCGTGACAAGGTGTTTTGGCTCTGAAAGCCATCTACGAGACCGTGATGAGCTCTGGTGATAAGTTGTGGAGTTTGCACATATGTTAATCTTTTTGCTTTGTTTCCCTAACTGCGTGTATGTACATCAAATCACTCCCACATTTCACATGGATGAGAAAAATATTTAAGATTTACAATGCGGACACAATTTCCTTATTCTTGATATAGAAAGATCTTCCGGGCCATATTATATATCCACGCATACGAGGACGTGTATGGTAGAATGAGGAAACTGGAAACTTGTTGGGTGGGTTTGATGCCTAACACTCTGGTGCAGATGAAACAGTGCTGATGTACTGCTAAGATTTTGTCCGCATACCTCCTCTGGATTGTCGATCTAGCCCATCCGCAAGGACTAACATGCTTCACCCTGTATGGAATGAACTTAGATAGCTTAGACTTTCTCTGAGACTTCAAGTGCCGGTGCTTATTGTTCAAAAATAAGGGACCAGTGACCTGCGATATTTCATAATGTCCATGTTCTGATTCCAACTTTCTGTCATCGTGACCAGAGGAAAAGGCACATTTGCTACAATCACAACGCGAAGTTAGTGACCTGCAAAAGCTAAACGGGGATGATGCACTGCTTGCTGATGAAGACAAACAACAAGTACGAGCAGAAAAACACGTCATACAGGACTTGATGCGCTTGAACCGCAGTGGCACAAATGCTCCTCTGCTGTTCCTTGAGGCGCAGAGCAGGGGTAACTTCCTCAGCCCGACAACAGAAGTGGGGAGAGATATAGTTGGGCTCCTTGCGTTGCTGGCACGCGTCGAGAGCAATCTTCTAAACAGGCATGGCTCGGCTTACGATACTACCCTATCACAAAGTAATCTGTCATCGGCTGTCTATCGCGAAGGCTTTAAACTTTCACCAGGTGGTTTAGATCTTTGCTTTGTGCTGTTAGTGTCTCATCGAAGACAGCTTTTGGAACGACGTATATTGTCCCTAAAGTGTTAATGCAGTCTGGGTTGAGGGGTTTACGTGGTTGATGCTTTGTGTGGGTGTACTTTCTGCAGGGCCCTTTTTGAGTTTTTAGGAGTCCCCACTTTGCTGCTGATGGTCTGTCGTACTCAGCGTGGGGTTAACGCTCTGGAGGAGTACGACAGAAACAATAATATAGATGTGACCAAAGGGTTACATGGATTCGCCAGAAGTAAAATGACAACCTTGTCCAGAAGATTTGAATGCCTTGCTTTGTCGGACACAAGGTATGGACGATAATGGTACATGATTCAGAACTATATAGTTGATAGGATTTTAGATGTTTCGGCCTTTGTTTGAATCAGCTATATACATGCGGTTGATCCTTTATAGGAGAGTTCACGTTTCATCTCTTAGATATTGTTCCGAGCATTTGGAAATGCTCGGAAAAATGTATTTTGAACAGCCTCAGTTGTATTTTCGCCTTTTCTTAAAAACTCCTATCTGATCCCACTTATCACTTCCAATAACCACACGGCTCTTTATTCAGGCCTTATCGTCGACATGATGGGAAACCGTCGGTTTATACGGAACATCCGCAGAGACTTTTAAACATCGACCCACCAATTCTGCCTACGACGCAGCAGCCACCTGACGGTTTCCTCGGCTATGCAGTCAATCTTCTACATTTAAAAGAGGAGCACTTAGGCGGAATTGTGCCATCGATCGACGGTCAACCTCCAGCAGAACCTCTTAACTTAAGAGAGACTCTTTTTCACCATCTGTTGCAAAATTTGCAAGTGTACGACACTCGAGAACACATGCTGAATGCCAAAAACAGCATTCGATTCACTGGTGGTGCTGTCTCTCTTGATGGTGGTTTCATCCGGAAAAATCTGCGGCAGCAGCTCGGAAGACGCAGGTGGGTGTTTGTACACAAAGAACTCAGTATTTGTTTCATTTCCGAATATGGTGAGATTTCGAAGGGTTCCTTTTGCTCCGAATATTCAAATGCTTGCGCTTGTTTTTGGAATGAGCAGTGAAAACGTTCTCATAAGCTTCGCAAATGTTGAGAAAGAACAAAGAATGTGCTCGAGTTTGCTCCCTCCCGCATGTTACGCGTTTGAACGGATGTACAAGTACATACACCTACGTAAAGAAATTAGTCTTCGAGATGAAGAACTCTCCGTGAAGGTTAGAGAGCTTGGCAACTGCGACCGAATTCTTCAGGTTCGTAGCGTGGCATACTATACCGTCCTCAGCCATTAATTTTACTCCTGCTTCTTCTAGAACATTGCTTGGTTTAATATGCCATTAATTTTACTCCTGCTTCTTCTAGAACATTGCTTTGTTTAATATGCCAAGGAATTAAGTCTCGTCGAGCACATGGCTTCTCTCCTTGCAACCAAACCTAACTATGCGTGTATTTTGTCTTGATGGCCATTCAATCCAGGGTGTGGTGGCAAGTGCTAACAAAGTTGGTGGTCAATGCGATATCATTGAGAGAACAGCGAATATAAAGCGGAAACTTGAAGAGCTAGGGAAAGCAGAAAAACTTCTCTTGAGCCAAAGCGATGACGCACGAAAAGCTAAGGATCAAACATCAGCCAAAGATCTCTCTCTCGCTGTCATGTCCGAAGGACGGCAGCCAGCTAATGCTGCTCTGAGCATGGAGGAGTTTGAAAGTAGAAGAATGCGAGCATTTATCATGTAGACTGGAAGCCGCAAGGGCCAGTCAAACTGGATATAGAAAAATTTCAAAGCTACTGTCATCTCCAAAAATCAGTTAGAAGGAAAAGCTAAGAAGCAATACTTTCTTGCTGATTTCCTTCCGTACGTAAAGTTTGTATATTTGTATATACCAGAGACGCCGTCGTAGAGTCTCACGGATCTGTTGTTGCAAAGAGCAGAATATCACGTATTTGAAGCAGATTTAATGTTGGTTTGTGGAATGTACTTATCGTAGAAGTGGAATGTATTTTCTTTTCGTGGTTTTCGCTAATGTCGACTTTATGAATCATATACATGTCTGTCAAGTGATTGTGACGTATGTTGGGAATGCGTCAGTCATTGGATTCGCTATATTGATTAGTGATCAGAATTACCAAACACTAGAGCCTTCTGAGTCCCTTGCGATCGAATTGGAGAATCGTACCTGGTCTTACCATTACGAGGGTAGAAACGTACCACTAATCTTCCTGGTCGCCCTATCTCTTCTGACAAAATTATTGTGCTTCACAAGAGATTGAATCTTCTTATTATATCTGGACTCTTTTACAAAAGTCAGATATGGCCCACTGTCTTTCTTCCCAAAAGTCTCCTTCGACAGATTATGGTTTAGGAAGACTTTGTATGATGTAATTCACATGAGAAGGTCGATAAATCGATACATCACATTCATTTGTCTACTTCAAATTAGAACTTCCCAGATGTCAAACTCACAAACGGAAGATAGTGCGCTCATTACCTTGCTTTCCGTTTTCATGATGAAACTTAATCTTGCAGATGTCTTGGAGAAGTTTGCGATGTCGTGAGCACCCCTACGCGAAATCCATCGATGAAGTTGGATGGTTCATATGTTACTAAAACTTCGCGCATCTCTTAAATGTTGTCCCAGGAGCTAATCACAGATGTGTGTTTGTGTTGAAATTAGTTGTCACTGACCTCTCAATCTTGTCGTAAGTGGACTGAATGGGAATCAGCACGCGTTCCATTCGCTGAAGTTCCCGGTAACGTTTGCCAAACGAAAGAAGTTGAGAGACCAGATCAGCAGAGGTCCCCATCTGAGCCAGCAAAACGCCCGAGCACGAAAGCGCGAATACCAATCGCTCACGCATCCATCCTCAAAGCTGGTGACAGTAGAGCCAGCCAGTTCACGTTCTCTTAGGTTTTCGGCTGCATCCAAACTCTTTCTACAATTTGCTCTTTGCACAATTTGCTGCGTGCTGCGTCTATGCCGCACTGCAGCCTCAGCTCACAGCAAAGCAATTCACCGCAGTAATCAAACGCAAACGAACACTGCAGTCGCTTCTTCATCTGAAGTCTTCTCCGTCTCACTCACTCACTCACTCACTCACTGTGACATCTGTGAGCCACATGATCCCCGAAACTCCCTAGATCCCCGAAACTCCCCTCCGCAATTCACCTCAAATCTCCAGTGAATTCGCAAGCCTTTGGCAGAGCAGGACAGGGCAGGGCAGGGCCGGGGCATATTTCGTCGAGTCACGTCGACCTGCTTCGCTGATTCTAGCACACAGTCCACTTGCAAGACGGACGCGTCAAAACTCAATCAAGAGTACGTCCAGGCTTCAGTGAAGCAAGGGCTGTAAAGGGCAGAGCAACTTGAGAGTTCCTGCCAGGCACGGGAAAACAATAAACAATCCAAGTCGACTCCCAGCGAGGCTCAGGTTCCGCGGCCAGCCTAGGCGAGACAAGTGGACACTGACACGCGGCAGCCCAAGAATCAACGAGCCGGAAGCGAGTCCGTTAATGAGCTGGATCCGCGAGCGATGTCTGGCGGTCGCGGGACTGCTGGATAACGAGATCCAGCGCGGCAAGGCGAGACCGCACTGGCACCAAATTGTCGTACTATGTAAGAAAGCGGAAGGGGCAAGGGAGAAGAGAAGGGGCCTGGGCTTGGGGCTGGGCTTGGGCTTCCGAAGGGGGAAGCCGCAGAGCCGACGGGGAACGACAGAACGCAATGCAACGCAAAGCAAAGCAAAGCGCGTGGTCAAGCTCGTCGAGAGTCAAGCTCGGGCCAGCTGGTTTGGTGAGCCACTGCCCCCCCCGCCCCCCGTTCACCCACTTTTGGCGGCCGAGTCAACGGATCCCCGACCCCAGTTCCGTCCGAAGAACGAGCGAGGGCACGAGGGGACGACTTGTATCTTCCGTTCTCGTACACTCGTACTCGAGGACGACCTGTTCGCTTCCCGTTTACCAGTCCAGTCTACTCCAGTCTACTCGGGTCTACTGTATTTGCGCAGTGGAGCTGAGTCGCAGCTCGGTCACTTAAGTGAGCATTTATTGTTGCACAGCAGCAACTTCTCTCATCGCAGTCCGTTCTACCTCCTCTCCTGCTTCTGTTTTCTATCCCTGGCCTTGTCAGACGGAAAACAAAAGGTTTCCAACTTTGTATGCAGATTAATGTTTCTTCGTTCTTGTCTACTTCCTTCACGTTGCATGGAAAACTCACCCAACTCTTTACATGAAATGGTTTTTTTCAAGATAAATACAATGTAAAATTTTTATTGATTTTAGTGATACTCCTTACAAATTCATTTATATGGAATAATTTGAAAACTCATACCAAAAAATCATAATAGATATAGTTCCTTCACCATATACTATTGTAAACTGCGTTACAATATTAAGAGAAAAAAATATGGACCAGACTGGGGCCACACCCGTTTTTGCTACGGTCACACCCGCCGCTAATTACCATGCCCATGCCCGCTTTTGCTACTACCCAATCACACTTCTGCTACAACCCAAGCGCACTGCTACTGCCCAAGCCCCAGCAACGCAGGAGACAGTGACGGCCGCAGCGGCCCCGCGCCCCTCAAAGCCTCTTGACTACGCTCTCCTCTGCCTCACGGACGAGCTCGGGTTAGCAGCTGGGTTTGAGGGGAGGCGTGCTTTGACGCACAATCAGTTGTTTGTATGTAGCGGGTGTGACCGTAGCAAAAACGGGTGTGGCCCTAGTCTGCCCCACAAAGATCACAAAACCTAGTAAGTTTTTTATAAAATATATTATTTGGACAGATATATTAAATTTGTTGATGCTTAAATAATTTTCACATCTTTTCAAAAAATGTACATATATGTACATACCACTAATAAAATATACTATAAGATTGGTAGTTTATAATACATGGAAAGAATTCATGTGAAATTTTTTCTTCTTGAGATAAAGGAAGTATGAATCTAATAGTTAAAAAACTCTAATACATAGTTTATGTTCAAAACTTATAGTCATTTAGTGATGTAAATGGTAATAGAACAAGCCTGAAGACCCAAAAGGTTGAAAAACACAATACAAGCAAAAACCACAAACAAGTGAAAAGACCCCAAAGCCAATTCATACTAGTGCCAAGAGCACTAGAACGGAAACTAATAATGTCCTTAATATAACAACCTAAATCAAAAGTAATTATATGTACTAAAGAATAGAAATTCTTCATATCTATATTATGAGCAAACCTAATGTCTTCGTACTTAGAACAAGTAACAAATACATGCTCTACATCCTGTACATGCCGTCACTACAAATACGTACACTCCTATCAATATTAAGCCAACGTACTTCCTCAATTCCAAGCATATGAGATCCAATTCTATGCCTAGCAATACTATGACGTAAGTACTTAGAGATTCCTGCTAGTAGATAATTCTGTTCACTATAAACAACCGTATGATTCACATGAAATCACATGAATTTAATAAAACTGCATCTTGGTGTCGCGCTTGCTCCAAATAATGTTCCGAAACTACTCCTTTAGACGTTTGCGTAGTGCCATAGGTTGCAGGTCCCAATCGCGTTCCGCCACATTCCATCTCCTTCTACCGCCACATCCGCTAACCATCCTTTAGCACGTGTGTCACGCAAAGGTTGAAGACGAAGGCGAGAAGCATCAAGATATCTCACCTCTCTTATATAAGTGATGGTCAAGTAGAGAGTTTCAGTCTCAAGAGGTAGACAACCTGTTTCCGCAAAGAAGAATGTAGTTCAAGATGTGAACAGTAATAGAATGTTTTCATATATAGAGAAGTTTTATCGAAGCGTGGTTGTTTATTTAATACGTGAGTGATATGAAAATCTGCATCAAATATTAGATATGAACTCCAATCTTCATGATAGACATTTGTTCAATTAATCTATGCTGCACCTACACCAAGATCAACGAGAAGAACAGAAGATGTAACATTCATTGGTACACGTAATTTGAAAGTTTTTTGTGACTACAGATGAATTTCATGATTACGTCATAAAATTCAGTTATGCACGCAGGGTAACCAACTGCAAATCCCATCGTTTGTGATAAAAATAAAATAAAATACAACTGAGCACAATCATAGGACATAGAGTTCCTGATTTTTGTCTTTTTCTGGAAAGTTTAGAGACACAAGGTTACTGAATTCATAGCATAGTCTGACCTTTATTCTAATACTAACGGCAAGGCGGGTCTAAATATATGATCTGCCACCCTTTTGCAAGCATCACTTCGGTTGGGTTGGGGTAGTTGGGAATACATGAGGTCTTGCATCAAGACCATAAAAGAGAACGTATGAAAATGTATGACGATTATGTCTTCGGCTCATTCGGAATTCAGAGGATGCAGTAACCGTTTCTGAGCTTTTCACCGCAAAATAATTCTGGATCTTGTGCATTTGTCATGCTGAGGAGTTGTATTACCTACCGGATCAGGAAGAGAACCAGCAAGACGATAGAAAAAGTGGCACAGTGTGTGAATGAATCATCGTCATCTTGGTCAAACGAAATCACCGATGCTGTCCACTCGCATTGTGGACACTATTAGAGCCCCCTTCTGGACTTTGCTGGGCCTGAGGGAGATCTGAGAGTGTGACAAAATTCCACCTTTTTAGCAGAATCTCAAAACCACGACAGATGATGCCTGAATGACGAATGAGCAACAAATGGAGGAGAACATGCCTCGAGTTAATACAGAACTATCTCCCCCTTGCTCGATTTGGAAGATCGTGAACCGTACCTGCAAAAGTACAGAACAGAAAGGTTGCAATACCTTGACTCTTAAGGAGTATTATCGAGAGACCTTCAATGCCAGTGACTGAGCCAGGGAGCAAGCAAAACAACCAACCGACCAACGAGCAGTTGAGGATGGAGAACACTTTCCCGCGCAAAATATTCTCCATATCTGCAGCTGGAGCTGGTGCTGCTGGTGGTGGGGGCGATCCAACGATTTACTTTGCTGCTTGCTTTCGGTGAACTGCTGCTGCTGCTGGCTGGGCTCGCCGGGCAGGCAAGGCAGGGTAGGGCAGTGGGCACCCACAGAGGAAGATTGTAGGCTGGTGTAGGGAGGAGGCAGTCAGGCTGGAGTCTGTTGGATCTGCAGCATTGGTTCGTTTGTCTGCATAGAAAACGACCTCAGCGCTGCCTCATGGGTTTTACCAAGAAGAATGATCACACGTTCACCTGCGTTGGCTATGATGATGAGCACTCCAGAAAGCTGGTACGACCATTCATGGTGCCCAGCTGTCTCGTATGCGCTCTGTGCCGATTCCATCCCTTTCCGCACATCATGCTGCCTGATGGAAGACTCGGCTTGGCGCAATGGTTGTCAGTGTTATCATCCTGTAGACATTTTCGTCATGTTATGTTACTTTTCCACAAGTATTTTTCTCACTGTACAATCCATTTTATTCCTGCATTTACTTTTTTTCTACCACACATCTTTCTATGATAAGATAATTGTGTACATATCAACCTAACATGTTTGGATTGTGCACAATTAGCAATTTTTCCGATGTTGACAGCTTTGACTGATAGCCAGTGGGCACAAGATAATTATGGTAAGATCTATACTTCAATAATTTCAACATGTGTGATTGTTGCTGTACTTTGAAATCAAAAGATAACACTATTAACTTCCCTTGCCTCGTTTTGGCCAAGATGTTCACGATGTGAGCAATGTAAAGAAGTGGAGAGATTACATTGGCAAATGAAAGAAATTTGACCATGAGTGGAAAAATGTGCAGATTTATATCTAGAGTGAGAGCATAGATTCCATGGCTCATGCAGGACTCGGTACACTTGAAAAAATTCATGATCGATACATTTCAAATTCCAATTGGTATCTAATACAAACAAGCTTCTTCGTATCCTTGTTTGATGCTCCGAGACGTCCCCAGGAGGACGATCATCTGTGCCACAGCCCACGAAGAGGGACTGTCAACCGAAAGCGTGAAGGGATAAATAATCCCTCCCAAGGAAAGACAGCCGTACAGCAGAAGTACATTCCGCGGGTCAAAGCCACGATCCTGGCCAAGGCAAGTGGAGACTTGCTATTACCAGCTCGCCCCTAAGTCTACTTGCCTGATGGTGAAAACTCAACCATCAAACCCACTTCAGTACCTACCAGTTGGCCTACGAGCTCACTCTCCTTACGTGATGGATACTTCCAAGCATTCTATGACAGTCACTGCCACGAGGGCTAAATTCAATTTTGGCTAGTAAGTACTGCTGATCGTAAACAAGCCACCCGGAGCGCAAGAAGGCACGAGCAGAAGAAGACCACATTCCCTAATGGCCGCGAGTGTCCGGAAAGTAAATGAAATCCATAAGCTGCTTGTATTTCCACACTTGAGAATTCTCAAGAATAATGGAAGATGTCGTTCCTACATGCGAATGGCTGGCTGGTGTGGATGGTGTGGCTTGCTCAACACGAAATCTAGGATGTGAATGAACACATCTCCTTGCTGATGGCTTTCACTCGTGAGCAAGACAGTATGCTCAGAATGCTTATTGAAGCAAATTATCGATAAATTTAGTGGAATAAATATGCACATTGTTTGGCGCCTTCCCCTGAGAAATGCAGTGCCAAAGGATGTCCACAGATTTACATCCCTCACTCCACATCCGCACCTTACAACAGTTCCAGAATAGGCTCACCACAGCCATGGTAGTGCGTCCGCCGCCATGATGATCCACACCTGAACTGTACTGCACCTGCCTTCAGTTCACTGGACAAGGAGAGACTATCATCTACATCTACGCAAGTCTTCTCTCAAGCAAGTCTCTCCGCTGAATAAACGATATCGATATCACCATCATCTTCTTCTTCAAGGCCGCCCCGCAACAGCCACAGCCCTGGGCTGTGTGAAAAACCAGCAAGGTACAGACATAAATAATACAGCGCAATGTCTCAGCCGTGTATGTTACCCAAATCTCTTATTATCTACAATCGCCTCCACGTGATGTCGAATTAAAGCTCTGTTAACCTCGCCCTGCTGTGCACACGTCAGGAGGCTCTCATCCAAATTTTCGGATGGTGGATCGGTGGTGAATGAGGCGGAGATCTATATACTGATGGAGCTCCGAAAAATGGCTCCATCAACAATTGATGCCACAAGATGCCAGGTTTGGTCCTTCCACCCTTTGCAGGAAGGGGTCGATTCGCACCCACAGCAGGGAAAAGATGGAAGCCAGAAGAATGGACCACACAATGATAATGGTTGGTGTGCGGTTTTGCCTGCCCATAAGACCCTTCAGGAACGGGTACAAATGCACGATCACCCAGAAGGCAAAGAAGAGCTTTCCGAACAGGGGTCCCCAGGATTGGTAGCCATTGTTGATGGCGTCAGAGATACCGGCAACCACTCCTACAAGGTTGATGATGAGCAGCGTGGTTGGGGGAATGAGCAGAGTTGTGAACTTGAAGGCGTACAGCTCTCCGAAGTTCTCGTCGTCAGCTTGCTTCGATGTGACAGTGAAATTGGTGTCGATACCTCCTAACACCTTCAACAGACCTTGGAACACGGCAAACAAATGAGACGACACTCCTCCGATGACCCAAAACTGCTCATTTCTCCACCATTCGTCAATTCCGACGCCGGACCACCTCATCTCCAGAATACCGGTGGCGAAAATGGAAAGGAAGAGAGAAATAAAGAACAGACTGGCCAAGTTACTAATCTGCACGATCAAAAAGCACATGTGGTAAATATTAGTTGCAGTACACATACTCCAAACTGATGAATAATCCAGAAGTGATGAGAACTTCCAGCCAAATTCACAAAATAACAAGGCTGATGTGAACAGTATGTACCGTTGGGATGATAAATTCTCCGGTCAGAAGGCAGATAGCAGGAAGAGCACAGTAGGCAACAAGAGGCAAGGATGTCAATGGGTACACGATGGTGTTGATGTACGCCAGTCTCTCCAGGCATTTCAACCTTCCTCCAAATCCGTACCATAGAGGACAATGCTTGCTGAGCAAAATCTCAATGGATCCCAGCGCCCATCGAAGCACTTGATGCAGACGATCGGACAGATTGATTGGAGCAGATCCCTTGAATGCAGGTCTTGTGGGCATGCAGTAGATTGAGCGCCATCCGCGTGTGTGCATCTTGAAACCGGTCAAAATATCCTCTGTAACTGATCCGTAGATCCATCCGATCTGCACACGATCCAGCCGAGTTAGAAATGCCATCTACAGTTTCCCTGTGGTTTGGCTAGACCAAGGTCCATGAGTATCATCAAGGTAAGCAAGTCCAGCTGATACTAGGGGATCATGCACTAGTCCAATGGATAGCACGATACTGGTGCAGAGGAAACTTTCCTAGATTGAGTAAAGATGACCATATTTTCCGCCAGATTCCATGCAAACAGTGATGATGTTGATGACCAAAACTATCTACAGATAATCTCAGAGGATGAATGCGGATGAATGCGGATGTTATAAAGTTATAAAGTACCTCTTTTCCCCACTCAGATTTATCTTCGTAACCACAACTGATGACGTGAATAGCTTCCTTCAGAAGGGATCCTGCATTTGCGCTGTGGGGTACTCCACCGTTCTCCAACAGAGTAGATGCAATGAGAACCGGTGATTGCCCATATCTCTTCTCGAAGTTCTTCATGGACATCAATGATGACTTCTCATCATCGAGACCTGCATTGGAAAAATACCATGTTGTTAATTAGTCGAGGAATTCAGGTTCAAAGCTGTAAATTCGAAATAACTTGGGCAGTCCTAGAATGGAGTTTCCAAGTTTAGATCCTACTATTCGTTAGACATCTGGCACGTACCTTCCATACCCTCTTCAATGTCCTCGAGGTTAAAAATAGGGATAGTGGAGTCGCTTCTGGCGGGAGCCTTCTTGTTCTTCTTTCCGCGCTTGTTGGCGGGTTTGGGCTTGTTTTGCTTCACTCCCTTGCGGGGTCCACAGCACCATTGTGGGCAGCAGCTGTTGCGCTTCTTCTCACTTTCCTTCAATGGGGGCTCGAAACCATACAGCGCATGTCTCTTGAAGACACATCCGGTACCCACGTACACTGGCCCTTGAATTCCATCCAGACCCTTCAAATTAATCTGCGAGGAGAAGGACGGAGGTTAAGACAGGTTCATCTCCAGCTACCGGAAAATAATTCACCATCACTGTCATCAATCAAACCAAAAAGCCATGAGTTTCAGGGAAGGAAAAGCTTACATCGAAAAAGACGGTGTTGTGATTGGCATATCGATCGTTCCTATCAATACCATCGAACCTCTGAGGGAACTGGACATAGCAAACTCGTTTTCCGATGGTGGGATCCATCATGAAGCACATTGCCTCTCTGATAGCTTTGCTGTTGTTGATGTAATGATCACAATCGAGATTGAGCATGTAGGGAGCGTTGGTAAGAACGGCCGACACACGAACCTGCGAGGGAGGGCGACATGGGAGTTAGATCATCAATCCGAGTCAAGTTCCCCTCACTAGCAAGATTCAACCTTCATGCTCACAAAACCGATGTCAAGCACGAGAATTTGGTGATTGGTAGAAGTTAAAGCCCGGGGATCCACAGTGTGAAAGAGCCACAATACAAGGGAAATGACCCCAAATATCACTTCCTAGCTAGTGCCAAGAGCACTAGAACGGTAACTAATGATGCCCCCGATACAACAAACTAAATCAGAATAAACCAACTGTAATAGAGAATAGAAATTCTCCACATCTATACTATGAGCAAGCCTAGTCTCTTCATACCTAGGACAAGTAACAAATACATGCTCTTCATCATCAAGGAGGAAGGACTCGGGATTATACCAATGCATTCATAGCTCCTGCCTTCTTGTGGTGATTGAATCCTGGACGCTTCTCTCTTGACACGTACACAAGGCGAGGAAGCTCGTTTCCGTCTGTGTCGTGCCCACCGCTGTGACCCAAAAACACTTGAATCATTCCTGGGTGATCACGGGTGTTGTTACCGGGCCATGGAGTTCCATCCTGCATCGTCCATCCTTCTTCGGGGACCTTCTGGGCTTTGGCGACCAAAGCATTCACGCGCACCTTGAATTCTTCATATTCTCTCTGCAAATGTAGCCATGACATGATCAGTATGAGTCATACACATACACATGAGCCGACCTCGAAGCACTCAGCTCTAGCTTCGACAAATCAATATCATAACACAATCAATTCCACATCTCGGAGGGAAACAGTGCCTACCTTCATGGCTCTTCGCTCCTTGACGAATGTTGGCTGGACCTTGTCCTTCAGATAGTCGATCTTCTGGGCGAAGTACATCTCAGGTGCACGGGGCTCGATCGCGAACTTCTTGCAGAAAGGAACCCACTTGCGGGCGAACTCGGAGGTCTCGGATAGGGCCTCGAATGTGAGCATTGCGGCTCCATCGTCAGACACGTAGCACGACACCTTGTCCACAGGGTAGTCCACTGACAGGATGGACAGCACCGTGTTCGCCGTGACGATGGGTGGCTCCTTCAGCGGATCCACTGTACTCACGTAGATGTCGACCGACGCCAATTGCGAGGGCTCTCCCTCCTTCTCGTACCTGAACCCCACGACACAGCCGCAACAGCGTCAGTCAGTCAGCTTGGAGACCGAAGCAGCAGGGAGGGAGCTCTAAGCTGCCCGTCCCATCGTCTGTGGACGATCAAAATCGATCGTTCACAGACGATGGGACGATCAAAATCGATGGCGATTTGACATGGGCAATCCACGAAGAGGAGAAGGAGATGTACCTCAGAGACAGTCTGTCCAAATATGTTTCTCGGTTGATGGGCAGCCACTTGGGAAACTGATCGAGAATCCACGAAACCGCAAACCAGATTTCGCAGACGACGGATGTGAGCCACAGCCCGTAGGCGGATTCCACCGGGTTCAGAATACGGTATCGGAAAAAGAATCCCAGCACGACGAGACGGATGACGATGAGCATGCGGTAGGGATTGATCTTGCTCGAGGCGATGGGCACCTTCCTCGACAAGGGCTGACGAGACTCATCCATGCTGCAGTCGCGCGGTCAAAAGCGTCAGAGCCCATCGGGCAGAAAAACATGCGGCGGGGAAAGGTTCATGCGCACGAAAAAGGGCATGAGAGAGGGGAAAGCGCACTCACATTGGCAGATCAGGCCCATTGGGACCACCATCGTCGGGCTCGCCGCCCTTGCCCTGGGAGAGATGCTGACCGCCCTCGGTCATCATCATTTGCATCTTCTCCTGCCTCTGCTTCCAGCTATCGACTCGCTCTTTCCATGCGACGGTCCCGTATCCATACTGGGCCAAATCTTTGGAGGGGTCCATGGGTCTGGCCGAAGAGACTGCACGAGGCCGAGCCAAACCAATCAGCCATCACGAGACAAGGCAGAAACGCCAGACGAATCACTGATGAGGCAATGCTTTCGCCTTTCGCAGTAAGATGCTCAGAAAGCGGTGACCACTCACCAGATAGATTGTTGGGCGAGTCGATGAAAGTCAAAGGGTGAACACGCTTCACTGCGCCTCCCATGACAGGAGGAACCATCAGAGCCTGGTGCTCCGGTGGAACGGACACTGAGGAGGCCTCGCCATTGATCTGAAACCGCGAGACACAGCGAGATCAGGCCCACCATACGGGACACACACATCGTGAACTGCAAAGCAGCTACATTCCTATGGAAAACGAAAAATTTCAGGTCGATGAGCTGATAAATCGAGCCGGAAACTTACAGGCTGCCCATTGGTGAGTAGAGGAAATTGTGGCTGCATGGGCTGCATCATGTACGAGGGAGGGAGGTTATCGTCGTCGGGCCGACCGAAAGTCATGCGCCCGTGCAGCAGATCGGTAACTTGCTGAGGCTGGTCCTGTTTGTCGTCCCGGAAGTTGAACTCATTGTCCAAATCGTCGGTGTCCTCCTCTTCATCGTCCCCATTGACACGGGGGCTACCTGAAACATTACCGAAGCGAGGAGAGGTGAGGTGCGCGACTTGGAAAGCGAGTGAATGAGCTGAGGGAGTGTGTCTAGAAAGGAACATCAATGTGGAGCTTCGACCTGTGGACTAGCACATATGCATATTCTCAGATGGAGTGGCGAGTGAGACTGCTCACCTCTGTGACGTTTGTATCTCGTTTTGCACTGAGGGCAAGTTTGATTCCCATCCTTCCTCTCATACTCGTAGCAGGGTCGGCAGACCGGGAAAGCGCATTCGTTGCAGGCAACGAAGAGCTCCCCGGCGGGCGTAATGCCGACATCGTCTCCACAAATTTGGCAGATGCACCCATTGACGTGGTTCAGAGGCTTCGGCTGCAAAGTAAACGAAGCTTGTTAATGAACACGCACTACTATAACAAAGCGAGAAGCAAACTAATAAATGCCTGCACTGAGCATGGATGCTCCCGGTGCAATGGGAGCATCTGTACCAACCCGACGACACCCTACTGAAGACGGACCAATCCAGAACCTCGGCACTTCAATCGAAGATCCGATCTCACAGGTAGACACTCCGACCAGCATTGCAGTCTAGCCCTGAACTACATCAGACATCTGCTCCACTACACTCCACTCCGAGAGTCTGCATCCTTCGATGACCCTTATCACAACCCGACCGACTATCATATCAGAGGCCTGCTTCAGAGCAGGAAGTCGCCATATTCCTACAGAGCCCGCAACATCCTGCCTGGGAGCTGGCGAGAGCTGGTGGAGTGCATGACAGGCAACGTACCCCATCATTTTCTGGTCGGATAACCACCAGTTCGTTCCTGTTGTGAGAGCCCGCCACGAGACCTGCATTGGCTTCCATTTCCTGGAGTCAATGGCTCTGCTACTCGGTCGCTCAACAAGAAGCCTGCCTGCCTGCTGCCTGCGCGAGCTTCGGCCTACTTCCGAAGCAGATGGTCCCTGCTTTTCACGCCTCGGTCCTCAACACTCATGTCTGCCACAGAGCATGCTCTCGTCGTCCTCGTCGTCACCTGCGGTTGTGGTCGTCGGCTTCGGTTCCTGGATGAAGGGAGGGCGCAGGAGCAGCAATCCGGCTACAGCATGCCCACCTCAGAAGACACAGCGGCCCCGCAATGTTTGCTCTGTTCCATTCCAGGGAGAGGGAGGGGGAGGGGCGGCCCAGGAAGCGATTCCCAGAAGAAGAGCTGAGCTATGTCTCCTCTTCTTCCGTGCCCCTGCGCTTACATACACTCCGCTCGAAGAAACAACGAGCACTTCTACTCTCTCACACACAACACTCTCCTCTCTCTCTCTCTCTCTCTCACACTCACTCACTGCACTCTCGTCTTCTCTACCTCCCTCCCCGTGTCCTAGAAGCCTCCCGCTGGCTGCTTCCTGACTGCCCTCCACTCACGATTCGCTGGAGCGCAGGGTGATTATATAGAATGGACAACGACTACGGAGCAGCAGCGGGGGGAAGAAAGAGAGTTGCGAGCGAGAGAGCGAGCGGGACCGACATGCCCAAGCCCCAGCCAGCATGGTTGGCCTGGCCTGGCCCTGGCTTTGGGCCTGGGCTTGGGCTTGGGCTTGGGCGGGGGCTGGGCTTGGGAAAGGGGCTAGGCTCGAGCACACACCAACAAACATTTCTTCACTGCTCAGATAAGATTTTTACTGCAGCCATCGAGTTGTACTGCGGTACCTCCGGTGGCAGCGCTGCCGCCCCTCCGTCGCTCCCTCGCAGCACAACGTGTCGAACAACATTCCTCCCTCCCCTCGGAGGCGGGTGGGTCAGTCAACCGGGCCGTCAAACCGGGGCTGCTGCTGGCTCTGGGGCTCTCTGGGGCTCTGGGGCTCGGGAATCGGGGGGTCGGGAGGGGGGCGGGGGAAGGGATAGACAGATGGATGGCACTCATGCTAATTATCAAGCCCCGGCATAACAGTGGTATAATACTACAGTGCAGGCTTTTGGTGCCTTGATCTGATGTCGGGTAAATGACACGGCCCCCCGAGCCTGCCTGTATTGCCGGGAAAGGGGCCTGGGCTTGGGTCTGGCACTGGGTTTGGGCGCGTTCGCGGGCTTGCGACCTCTGCCTCTGTCTCTCTGTCTGTCCGTCTGTCTCCCTCTGTCTTTTAACCACTGCAGTCAGTCAAAGAAGCAGACAAAACCCAAGGCCATGCTCAGCCTCCCTGCCCTTCCCTTCCCTTCCCTTCCCTGCCTTGCCCCTGCGTGCTTGTTCTTGGGCTTGCGTCGCTCGTACCGCTTGTGATGGACGGGACGGGAAGAGAAGGGGGGCTGGGGCTGGGGCTGGGGCCGGGGGCTGAAAAGGAAGGGCGACGAAGGGAGAAAGGAAGCAAGGGGGGAAAAGGGAAAGAGGGCGGTCATGCGGTGAGAGAGAGAGATAGAGAGAGGGAGAGAGAGAGAGAGAGATGGCAGTTCAGACATGACATGCAGTAGCAGTGCATTGCAGAGGGGACTGGTCCCTCCACCAGCCAGCCAGAGGGTTGCCTTTTCCTCACACGGCGAATCAGCCCCTCCCCACTCCTCTCGTCGGTATGATGCTACGTAGTAGAATCGGCTACTCCCCCTCTGGCCCCGCGAGACTCCAAATCATCCCCTCCCCGTCCCCGCTCATCAACCACACACACTTCCTTTTTCGGAAGTCATTCATTCGGTCTTCCAGCCCTCCTTTGCTTCCTTTGCTTGCCTGCTTCTTTACGAGCGCCTCTCGCCCACCTTTCTTTTTCATTTCCCCTTCGGCCCTCCATAAATATTTTCTACCATTTACTGGATCTAGCTGGCTCAGCATAGCCAGCCTGCCCGGAATCAGCCGCAGCAGAGTCTCTATTGCCATGGCCATGGCAACGGAAAAGCTGACTGCTGGTTCATGCTTCGTTTCCCATGGCCTTCCTTCCCATCGGAACCCCTGCCTCGCTGCCTGCCTGCCTGCCTACTCTCTCCCCCACCCCAACACTAATGCAGTGTAGAGGGAAATAGGCTCATGGAGTGGGCTGGCTGGCTAGATGGATGGATGGGTTGTATGGAATGCAATGGATGGGCCAGGGAAGGAAGGAAGGAGTGAGACTCAGCTTGAACAAGACTCCTCGCGTCGAGGTCTCAGTCCCAGAGTCTGAGTGAGGGAGGGAGGGACGGAGGGAGTGAGTGAGTGAGGAGTGAGTGCGAGTCGAGCAGATGAATCAAGAAAGAAAAGGAATCAATAAGGGCAATCAGTCAATGAAGAGTAATAAAGGAGCACGGGCAGCGAGAGGGCAGGCAAGGCTGGCATGCCAGGCAGGCGTGAGGTGGGCCTTGGATGACGCTAAGCTCCCAGGCCAGGCCTTTGTCACCATTAATCTGACAGCTTGCTCACAATACCACTCGCTTCTTACATCCCCTGCCTTCCCTTCCTTCCCTAGTCCCCTTCCTTCCCGTCCTTCCCCCCACCCAGCCCCACTCCTTCCCCTTCCCTCGATCGCTGTCCTTCCATCCTTCCATACCCTTTAAACATCCTTCCTTCTCTTCCTCTGTGTCTCTATCTCTATCTCTCTGCTCCGTCGTCCATGTCTGGCTCTCGACCGCCGCTTCGTGAGGCCGGTCGCCCATTAATTCGATGGTTCTTTCTTCTGCGGACGACGTCGACCATTGCGGGGGCAACTGGGTGGCACGTCCGAGAGCTGCCATTAACGCAGCTTACCCCCGGCCAGCCTTCTGCTGCTCCCCTCGCCCTACGTGCTCACGTTTTTACTCACCTCCCCCGCGTCCACGTGTCCCCACCACTCTTGACGTGGCCATCCTCGCTCCCTTTCGCTCGCCCAGCCTCCGGATGGTGCTCCCCGGGGACTCAGAAATAGGTCAAGCTCGAGCCCCACCCCCACCCCCAACCCCAACCCCCCGCAAAGATAGACTCCTCCCATCCCCTTAATGTTAAATGCGTGGAGGCTCTCCCTAATCCGATTACCCCCCGCGTGCTTGTGCCTCGCAGCAAAGCAAAGCCTGCTTTCTAATCCCCTCTCCTCTCTCGGGGGCAAGGCTCCTGGCGGGGGCAAAGGCGTGACCCACCTAATGCGGCCCTTGTTGGCCGACTGGACACTTGGGTGTTCATGTCGAAGGGCTTCTCATGCGGATTAAAAGTCCATCTCACCAACATCCGGCATGCAGATCGCAGCCGTCGGGAGGCCAGTCTCAATCCAGGCAGGTGGGAACAACCTGACCATCGTGTACCTCCCGACGCTGCGTTCGGACTCGATAGTCATCGGCCCAATGTCCAGCCCCGCGAAGCACGACCTCTGCAAGCGCTGATGGAAGGTTAGTTGACATAATTAGCCGCTAGCGCTTCGAGTTACTAAGCCCCGGTTTGGGGACGACGATGGTAACCTTTAGAGGGGCGGGGAAGAACGATCGGTCCTCTCATTTGGCCCAATTTGGTGGCTCTGGTCTGGTGCCACCCGCCCATGACATGGTCGCTCGTAACTGTTCGTACCCCCGGCCTATTTACTCCCCATTTACCGTAACAGATCCCAACGATCAGTTACGAGTGACAACCATTGCCACCTCGGCCCTTCCTCCGCCAATTTTAGCAGCAGCTGCCCCGCCAAATGTTTGAGTTTTTCTCGAGGGAAATCGATTCTTCCGCTCCGGCCAATTTTATCGTCGCCAATCATTTCTGGTGAACCTCCCGCCCTCGACTTGTCCAATTTCCTGCCCCGTCTCTAACTCCCGTTAGCTGGTCCTCTGGATCCTCATCCAGCAGCCACATTTAGCCCCTGCCACATTTAGCTGCCCCCTTCCCGTCCAAAGAAGGACAGCCCCCGTACATCGCGGTCACAAAGTTGGTCCTACTGCCGGGTACGTCCTCTTCGTCAACCGCCCTCGGCAGCTTCTGCTACGTGGTTCGTCCTCGGTTGCCCCAGGACGAACCACGTAGGGTTGTGTCGGCCCCGTAGAAGCTTTACCCGGTAGAAGCTTCTGCGCCTGCCAAGGGTGCTGAAAATGTGTTTTTACCGACTAATGTTCGTAGGCCTGTACTCATGAACGTCGCATTTAATGGCATGGACTATTATGATTAGGAAAACTTTCCAAGATCTACGAGGTCTGTAATCAGGCCCGATGAGTGCACCTCCTGTAAGTGCACTCTCTCTTAATGTGCAAGGTCTTCTGGTACTTCCCCCCAAAAAAACAACGTACACTGTCTTGGAGGATATCATAACTTCCAACCTTATGTTGCATTCTCTCGTTCGGTACCACATGTTTTGAGTGCAATGTTGCACTTACGGTGACAGCCTCCTCTGCTCAGATTGGAACTGCCACTTCCTTCAGACTTCCTTAGGGATGTGTGAGCTGTAGGTTTACGAACGTTTTTTCAGTGCATTGTTCCTGATGATTCTAGATATTAATCCCTTCGAATATTGATAACGAGTGCTGAGAAATTTATTAAATCTTGGAAAACACTAACATTTTATTTTTTTCTGCACATTCAACCATCTTGTGTGAATGCGAGACTTGGCTTACATACCACTCATGAGTAGTTCATCAACAACCTTCTGAAGCAATCACGTGAACTGTTTTATTTTGGTACTCTAAATATATACCATTCAGCAACATCTTTGGTGACTATAGACATTTCATGGAAAGTATCTTCCTTCTTTGTTTCGGAATATTCTAAGAAGGAATCTTCCTCCAGATTGCTCAAAATTTGGATGGACTTGTTCACACACCCGTAGAAAACTCGTCACACTGGGTTCTATAGGATTTTTTTCAACTACCATTGATTTGTTTCCAGATCAATATGAAAAATCCCTCTCGTTACTCTTGTTTGCGATCTTGCATTTATGTATGTCTATAATCTAATACAATTTGCATTAAAGATATGAGAAAGTGAAATACTGTTCCCAAGGCCTTCGAGAAGTAAGACTTGTGGGTCTCGAACGTTTTATGATGAAAGCCCATTTCGATAATAGCTCTGCAAGCAGGACATGCATCGACGATGTGAATGATGATGATTCCACGCCTTTGACCCTTGAGATATGCCGTCATTTGCATCGTCTCTTGGACGAGTTAATACGATGGGCAGCCTGAATGACAACAACTCTGCTAAAAAATTCCATCCGATGCCAACGACCTCACCACGTGCCTAGGATTTGGTGAAATACTGAAATGCCTCGTCATGATCCGCCACTTGGTCTCAGAAGAGTACCACGTGAGATACAGTGTGTTATTTGTATACATGTCAGGGACATTTCGGTGGGAAGCATTTCCTTCTCTTCGTTTACATTTCAGTCATTCCATAGTTTCAGCGTCCTGGACCTCTCTTTTGTCGTTCTGCATTCTTGCGCCTCCATATTTATTATGAGATATTTATCTGCTTGTCGGCCTCTTGCAAATTTGCTCGTTCAGTTCCTGCGGTGGGTATGATGCGAAAGCAATAATATCATATTTGCTTGGAACTCAGAAATAATACAGGAACTATTCCTCGAGTGCATGCGAACAAGTAACGGTCTCAGAAGCTCTCGAGGAACCGTAGAGTGACAACGGGCAACAACTTCCGTTGTTGAATCAAAAGAGCGAACGAACGAACGAACAAACTTTTTTCGGCCACTTGGCACCATGGATATGGGAAGCCCAACCCCAGGCCCAGGACCTCGTTCATGGTCGTTCTCCCTCAGAGAGACAGATCTCAACTTCCGTTCCGGCCACGAATAGAAGGCTTAAAAAACCACTGCCACCTTGTGGGAGGGCCATTCAAATCTGCCTCTGCCTCGCCCAACAAAGAAACTGCAGCTTGCCAAATTTGCCCGTCTCGACAAAACAGAAGCCTGGCCGTGTGCTCCGAGACCGCACCACTACAGTCCCGGGTATCGGATGCCGAGTCAAAAGGGCGATCGAACAGAATCGGTGCCATAGATTCTCCAGCAATGTGCTCAATTGCGCCCTCGTTTCTTC